TTTGGCTTGTAATGAACCCTGGTGCAGATCCCATGAAAAGTCCATGTTAAATGATGCTTCAGCATCAACGTGAATATAATCAAGTGTCAGAGCACAGGAATCACACTGAAGGGAGGAAGCCAGCAGGTGGAGAAGACCTTGCTGGCTGTCCGTGTGGAACTGTGTGGGATGGCTGAGTGACCCATTAGAACGCCATTTGCTTATGTGTTACTATTTATGATAAATGTGTGCTGTAAATCCAAGACCAGAAAAGGCTAGGCAGATGGAATATGATCCTCAGATGGCTTTTCTGGGGAGACTGAAATGTTTTTGCAGAACTAATTGCCTCATACGTTGGTTTTATTCTCCTGGCTGAAGTTAATGTCTTCTTTTAAAGTTAATAAAAAGAACTCAATTTGCTGATTGTTCTGGACTCAGTACTGGCAAAAGGAGTACTCAAGGACTCTGGAGAGCCCCAGACAATTCCTCAAAGCAGCTTAGCAGGGGATGCTAAGTAGTGACAAGCAAGGTGTTCCCTGCCTGCATTTTAATCTCCTTTCCAGTGGATTCTGTCACACTGCGTGTCTTGGGTATCCCCATAAATGTCTGTAGGGAAGAGATTACAATTGGCAGCCTCCTGCAACAGGCCTTGGGACTTGGGCAGTGAGAGAGCAGAGCACATACATAAGCCAAATCAGCTATCAGCAGGAACAAGACAAGCTACAGTGCCACAGCAGAACTGAACACCCAGCCTAGCCTCACATAGCCTGGTGTGCTGCGTGCAGCCTCATCACACCTTCCATTTCACAGGTCAGTCCAAAGGCCAAGAGCAAGAGAACACACCAGCATCCCCTTCATAGTCCTGGTTATGCGAGCCACTCCTACTTCTGGTCCATAGCCTGATGTCCAGAGGGTGTGCTCCTCGCAACACAAATTGCCTTTCTAGCCAGAAAGAAAATAAATCTCTTGCCCAACACATACCTGAAAGAAATCTCCAGTGAAATGACACAAAGCAGCTCAGAGTGCGTCTTCTTCTTAGGGGATACTGGGTCAATCACCAACACTGGCTTTAGATGCCAAGATTTCACTCCAAAATAAGCATAGATAGTAGGGAATAGTGGTCCCTTAAGTTAATCTTAAATGACTGTGATAGGAAATTAAAAGCAGGATCAGTGATGATTCAGTGATGTGACAGGAGAACTTTCAATAGGCACCTGTGACTTTCCCAGCACCCCAACCCTTTGGTGCCTTTTCCCTGGGGTGCCACACAGAGCCATTCAGGTGACAATTTGCAGTGACCTGCCTGCAGCATAGCCATGGGGTCAGAAAGACCTGGAGGCAAAGGCTAAAGCAGCAAACACAGCGTGACTGAAGCAGTGGCTGGATATGCTCCACTCCACCACTGCAGCATCCTTACAGCAGCTTCAGCCACTGCACGTAGAGGACCTCTTTGATAATCAAAGTGGTGTGGAGCCTACAGCTTCATGCACAGATATCACTAGAGTAAAGCAGTGGCTTACCCACTAGGGGAAACCTTAGCAGAAGGACAAGGAAATTGCTTGAAATTTGGGCTGCTTGCAACACCACTCCACTCCAAACATTGGAAGGGTCAATTCCTCTCCTAGTGCTGAATACAAGGAATTCAGCTCTGACGCTGAGCTTAATTAAATAGAAATATGAAGCAAGAAACAAAAGCCAATTAGATAAAAATGCAGAGTTACAGGATGTGAATGCTGATTAACCTAATAATAGACAATAATGCTAGTAAAGGAAGTTAAATGGTTTGTTTAATGGATGGGATGATCTACAATATATAATATACAAAGTACTTAACAGTAAACATTTAATTGCCAACTTCAGATGCATTTTTCTTTACTGTGCAGAAAAAAAGCATTTTGTATAAGCATTACTGGCTAGGAGCAAATTACAGCCTTGAAAAAAAATGTTTGTCATGTAAAAAAGAGCATCTGCTTTGCAGACACAACAGAAAGTCTGAGACACAGCTAGCAATACTGGGAGCTGTCAGACAACGGGAGGCGAAAATGGGGGGGAACAAAACAAAATACCTGTCCTCTTGCCTGGCACATCATTTACAGGGGTGGAAATGCAGCTTTCCCTGTGCCTGCCCACAGGATGGAGGTCTTGGGAGGCAGAACATGAGCCTCAGACTTACAAGATAGCTCCAGGGTCAAATTGCTGAGGTTTTAGGAAGGTTATGAAGCCAGCCTCTGGTGTGAGTTGTTGGGAAATCTCTTTGAGGGCTAAAAGTGTCTCTAGTTAGCATGATCCTTCCTCATAAGTGAAAAAGAAGCCATGGTCCAGTCAGTGGCTAAAATACCCTGCCTGCTCCCAGCATGGATACCTCAAGTGTGAGCTTTTTTCAAATTTCTTCAAATTTTGTACATTTAGCATCTTCATCAGACATTTGTGACGCTTTGCATTGAGGAGTAACACTCAACAGTTTTCAGGAGTGTCACTGTGTGGCTGGATTGCTGTATACTCAACCACAGCATCTCCCTCAGCAGCAAACAGCACATTCTGCAAAATCAATAGTCAGTGCTCTAATGGAAATCTCTAATAGAAATGTACAGTGGCAACTCTGAGTGTAAGAAAGGGAAGTCGCACTGGGAGGCCTGCAAATAGACAGCCCTGCTTGATCTCAGCATCTGTGAACTGGAGAAATGAGAAATTACTCCAGCCCAGAACGCAACACAAGATGTTTGTGTCACTCTTCTTGCTGGTGCAGAAGCAGCACCGCTCCCATCACATTCATTTCACACTTCAGACTGTCACATTGTGCAAACAGTGTGAAGGTGTGCAATTTAACACCTTGCACTCTCGCTGGAGCTCTTCTTTCTGCCACTGCACTGCACACAGCTGGGAGGAGATCCCCTGCAAGTGGTGGGTTTTAGCCCCTGCCTTGCACGGCTGCCTGTGGACAGACTGATTCAGACCACTTAAATTTCTCAAACCAGCCTGGTTTACATGGCATCTTTATGACACTGCTCTGCCATCCCAAGGTGCCAGGCACCACAGTCCTCTAAGTCTGGAAACACAGATGGGAACTTCCAAAAACAAACAGTAGAGAGAATTGGGTGCCTGTGGTCCCCCTAGGAAAAACCTTCATCAGATGCTTAACAGCAACACATCAGAACAACCTGCAAACCCTGCCCACCACTCCTGGCAGCTGGCTGCCTCCCAGCCCAGCGATGAGCGATGCCAACTCCATTACCTGCACCACAGGGCCTAGGGGAGGAGGCAGCCATTAGCTGCCTGTGATGAGCTAATTAATCACGGGCATTTGCTGAATTCCCGTGCTGTTATTAATGGTTGTGTGGATTGAGGAGGGCGGGTAGGGCTCCCACACCTGCTGAAGAAGCAGTGCTGCTTTGTGAAGGGCACTACTGCACCCAGGCAGCAAACAGGACATTGTGGAGAGCTACCCCAACATCCCCCCATGGAATCATGGAGGGGCTTCCCGCTCCATCAAGGAGCATCTGGGCTCAAATCAAGTGCCACAGGGCTAAAGGACAGTTCTAGTAGCAATTTCTCCTCCATTCATCAGGGCACCACAGAGCAGCCGCACTCAGCAAGTTAGGCTACCGAGACCCCAACCTTTTTCCATGCGTTTCCATGGCAACAGCACCCAAGACCCTGCCCGCCTGCTCCCAGGCACTAAGCCTTACCTTTCTCCATCTGTAGAGGCTTCCTTCTCCAACTGTGCTCCCAGGGCAAAGCCCAGCTCTCCTGTAGCACGTTGAGGGCTCCTCGGGGCTGACCTGAGGGCTCATGAGCCTGTCTGTGCCCCATTATGCTGCCAGTGTTTGTGCAGCTGCGGCCTGTACATGGCCGCCGACCACAGCAGCAGTATCAGCCTCTTTCCCTCCACCTGCTGCAGGATTTGGTTCAGGTCCAACCAAGGTGAGAGGCTAAAGGCACTAAACCCTTCGAGCCGTCTGGAAATGTAGGAACAACACAAGTGCTGCCTGGCTCACTCCTCGCCCTGGCTCTGCAAATGCAGTCTTGCCCACTCCTCGCCCTGGCTCTGCAAATGCAGTCTGGCCCCGAGGTCTGCACACACACAAGCAAACTCAGAGCCTGGCAGTTCATTCATCAAAGTACTAATTGGCACCAGTTTGCATCAGGTCACTGGCCAGCACTGTTTACATGCCGCGCCCTGAGTACTGCTGCACTGAGCCTGGCTGTAACAGACAGAATGGCCCCAAAACAGTTGGCTGTGAACAGTGCTTGTCCTATCAACAAAGTTGCCTTCAGGGATTAAAATCGCATGGTCCTGGGGTTACTTGCTATTAACAAGCAACAATCTCTCATCTTTCCATGTATTCTCAGAGAGTGGACAGGCCCTGGAACAGACTGCCCAGGGAGGCTGTGGAGTCCCCAGTCGTGCAGGTGTTTAAGGAAAAGATATATGTATTACTGAAGAACGTGATTTAATGGGCAATACTGGTGGTAAACAGAACGTTCGACTAGATGATCTTAGTGATCTTTGCCAACCTTAATGATTCTATTCAATGATTGCACTCATTTTTTGTCAGTTCCTTACAACACACCAGAACAGACTGGCTGCTGGAATAGATTCATCTCCTGCTGTACTTCTTCAGGGAAGGTCCAGCATTATCTTTTCCATCCCGCTAAATTGAACAAAATCCCAGCTTTAATGGCATCTGGGCAGACCAAGCTCTTTGAAGTCACTCCCCTCTCTGAGGAGAAAGAAGTACTAAATTGTTCTGAATTGTTTCAGAGGTAAGGAAAATGAGAGAGAGAGGGAGAGAGAGAGAGAGACAAAGAGAGAGAGAGAGAGACAAAGAGAGAAAAAGAAAAACTGACACAGGACTTAGGATGACACAAATTATATTTCTCAACATCGCCAAGAAACAAAATGGGACAAATCCATCTAGTACTTGTCACTGGAACTGGGCATCACAGCTCTGAATACAATGGGAATTGTTCAGCTTTGTTTAAACAAAACAAGAATTAAAATAATTTTATAAAAAAAAAAAAACAAAACAAAACAACACCCAAAAACCAAACATTTCTCAGGTCATCATGGTTAAATCCAGAGAATGAATTAACAGAAGGAAAAGAGATTGCCAGTACATTGCCAAAGTCATTGCAATTTAATTCAGTTAAAGAGAAGCAATAAGCCCAGAAGTGCATCTGGCAAGATTCATGTAAGGACCATCTACATGAAATGCAGACTAGGGACAGGAATAGTAGAATACACTGTAAAACACATGAAGGAATTATAGCTCTGAGACACATCGAAATACAAGCTCATACAGATCAGTCTTAACAGCTGTAGTTTCTCCACTTATTTCCATAAATATAATTTCTGAAATGACCTTCTAATTCTCAGCTTCCATGTGCTAGCACCTGTGCCAGCTGTGGCAAGAAATAGCTTCCTTTGGCAGCCCAGAGAAGAAAAGCTTTTGCTAGTTTTCCTGCTATCAGCATTATCAAGCTGCACTGCACAGGATTTGCTGACAGACACGAGTTTGTGCATCTTCTAATTCTGTGCTTCAGGCTGGTGGGAAATGCCCTACACTAACATCATCCTCATAGAGAGAAGGAAGAGGTCAGGAAGCATTCTAACTGAAGTCAAGAGGACCACGGCACCCCAATATTTGTGGTAATTTTGCTCTCATCTATTTTGTAGTGTTTCTGCCAACTGCACCTCAAGGTCAGACTATGAGTAGGGTCAACAGTAAGGGAGCAGAAGGTGCCTTGGGCCTTTTCCCTTCAAAACACCATTGCAAAACTAAACTGAGTTAACATCTGAATCCAGGCAGAAAAATGGAGCCCTTCCAATGCTCCAGGCTATAAAAGAAAGACCCCTTTGACCTGGGGCTGTTTACCTTGGCTGCAGTCTTTGGACATTTCAATAGGAAAGTGTACTGCACCTGTGAACAGGAAAAACAGAGCCAGTGACTGGCAAACAGATCACTCTGGGCACCTGGAATCAAGCCTGTACAATCCTGTTTAATGCATGACCTCCACAGTCAAGAAATGCAAAGGTGGTAAAAGCAGGCAGCTGAGGAATGCCCACAGAAAGCAACACAGAGCATGTAGGAGTCCCATGTGGAACAATACATTCATTGTTACCCTGGGACCTCCTTCCCTAACTCTATCTAGTAAATGTCTATTACTGTTGTTGCTGAAAGAGAGAAAAAAGGAGAAAGAATAATGCCTTATTTCTCTTATCACTTGGGCAAGCGAGAATTCCTGCTGCACAATCAGGTTAGGCTCAAATTGGAGAAATGTTATAAATCTAAAGTCAGAAGTCTATGTCCAAACTGAGACTGACAGAGCAAGAATGTCTAAATCAAGTTACAATACCAGTCAATGGCAAGGGCTGAAAGATGCTTTTATTGTTCACACAGTAAAACAATCCAGTGGAAGATTATTAGATGGGGAAACAGCAGCTTTGTTGGGATGAATACCAGGTAATCCTTGAAATGTGTCCAGTGTACCTGTCATTGGAGCAGTACTGGGCAATAGGCTTCTTTGGGATCTCTTCAGTGGACAATGCATTCACCAAAAAGGGTTAACTGAAACTATTTGTCAGACTAAGAAAAAAGGCAAAGGCAAAAAGACTATTAACAATAAAACATTTTTCTTTCAGCATTTTCAGAACAAGTTTCACATTTGTGCCTCAAATCAACTTTTTATAGCCCAAGTCATAACGTTTTTAAAAAAAGTGAAAAAGCAACCCTAAAAATGAAATGCTTCATTTTGGTTTGAAAGGATTTTTTTTTCTTAATGTTTTGATTTTTCTCTTTTTCATTTCAATGAGAAAATGAAAACAAAATAAACTTGTCTCAGGTCACCCTTGCAGCTTCAGGCCACCCTTACAATGTTTTTCCCCAGATTTTTCAGTTCAGCCTGCAAACTGAAAAACCATTTTGTGGGCACAGCCTACTTTGGGAGTTTATTATCCTTCTTTCTATTTAAATCAGTCCTAAGACAAAGGAAAATGGGAATTTTATTTCACCAGGTAATGCTAACCAAAAATCAAAGTATTTAGCAGATTAAAAAAAAAAACAATCCTGAAAATCGGAGGAGATGTGCCTGTTTATGGGCTGAACATAACCCAGGAGACAAAGAGATGATTCCAAAGAATACTGCCATCTACAAGCTTCTTGCTATGCCACCCTACTCTCATATAAGGCAACTTACAACCTGTGGGCCCAATCCTGCATTTTTAGAATCTGTGATGGGATACTGCAAGCACAGCAAAATCTAGGTAGCTCACACTATGTGCTCTGAGCAAGGGGAGGGGGGGAGGCATGAGGGTTGTGGGTGCAAGGAAGCAAATGGAGAAAGATGCACCGTCCTCTCCACTAGCAATACTTGAGCATCAATCACGTGACCTGAAAACAACATCCCTTCTTTGCAGAGTGTTACCACTTCTGCAGGGATAATACAGTACTGGATAGTTGCTTTGCAAGCTCAATTAAAAGAAAAGGCCTTACAAGGATTTCTGTTGGGACAGTCATCTGGTTCAAACACAGCAGAAGACAACATCAACAACAGCAAAAAACCCACAATAAATTAGATATCAGCACAGCTTTCTAAGTGTTCTAGAACAATTACTTGCAAGACAAAAAAAAAAAATCACAGCTCTGGTACTTAGAATCTTGTCTTTTTTTAAAAAACAATAATCCACAGGTTTTGCATAAAAATAAACATTTTAAGCTGACGTCGTTATGTTAATTGGATCAACCCGTTTTTTTTATATATATATATTTCTATGTATATTTAAATGTATATCTTTCTTCTGTGAATATTCTTTAAAGGAGTAATGAGAGTCACAAATGCATAAAAATAGATACTTTGGAAAGAAAAAGTAATAACAATAACGACAACCCTGGTGAAAAAAAACCAATAATCCAAATAGCGCAGTATTCTAAAGCAATGGCTCACCATGCTGCCACTTGTGGAGTCCAGTCCTTCTGTATTGCGTGCAATTACTCTTAAGTACTACTGGGGATTTAACAGCGGTGAGAAACAAAAATTCCTCAAGTTTATTTAAAAAAAAAATAAAATAAAATAGTTGAGATGGAGTTGGATATACAGGAAGATTTTGATGCTTGTTATATTGCTGTAAAAGAACTAACACAATTATCTTCAGAGGTGAAAGCAGAAAGAACTCTGGCAATTTTTGCATTTACAGCAATATAGTTTTGATCAAAATCTGACCCTTTGCTCAGAATTAAAGCTTAAAAAATAAACAAAAACAAAACAAAAGCATTTTTGCTCTACAATGTATTTTTGCTTTTTTTTTTTTCTGTTGTCCTACAAGTAATTAAAGCAGATGAGAAAAGGTGGGATTTTCAGTAGTGTGTGTCAGCACCCTGCACATCTCTGACAAAAGCCAGCTCCTAATAAGATTATTTCCATGAGTGATCCTGTCCCTTTACAGCAGGAGTTAACCTTACTGTTAAAAATCCCTCCAAGGCAAAAAGATTGTGGAGTAGGAAGGGTGGGAAGCCATTAAAAAAAGAAGAGATAATAGCCTGACCTGCTTGCCAGCTGCATCAGTATTCAAGTAAAGTTTAAAGTACCTTTGTTGGACTTCAGAGTCTCGGAGGGTCAGACCAGCTTACTTTAACAAGTATAATATGCACTTTGAAACAGCTTTGTCATCTGCTTGTTTAAACTAAAAAACAAAACTCAAAAACAAACAGGAGCATAAGAAAGGTCTCAGCATCAGCATTAGACTGCAGAGTGTCCTCTTGACACTGACACTTTGATATTCTTGCCTTCCTCTTCTAATGCATTAAAAAATCAAGAAGTCATGCAGTCATTTTTAAATGAGTATTTTGAGAGTCCAGTTTTCTTAGAGGTTAACTTCATCACCAGCACAGCACTGGAGAAAGCTGATCTAACAATAGTTCACTGACAGAAATCTTCAAAGGAAAGTAAAAAAAAAATATATCATTCCACAGATAACAATGCCAATTAAAAACACAGAAAGCAAATGGTTTTTCCTCAGTGTTTTTTCTTAAGACATCTTTTCAGAAGAATATTTTTCTTTAAATTTTCTTTAAAAACACATTTTCCTTTCAGATTTGAGAGCTATCTTCCATCTACATGAATTTAAACTCTTCTGAAAGTGCCTACAGGGCTTGTGGGGGCAGGGCATCATTCCCATCAGGTAGATGGCATCTGCTCATTTTGTCTTGTTTGTCCAATTCCTCCATTCCCTTTAGCTCTCACAGGCCAATACACTACTGTGAGAATTTAGATGCTTGCAGTTGAAAGAACTTTGGACTGAGCACAGCTTGACACATTTCACCTCCATGTCATTACCACGTAGTTCCTCCTTTCTCTACACATATAAAATTAGTTTGCATAACACTGTCTTAAAGGAAGAAAATAAAATACACACACATACATTGTATTGGTGAACACTATACACTAAATATTTTTTTCAACAGCATCACAGGAAGTTTGGCCTACTGTAGGTTGATCTTGTGGGGAAGGCTGAATTTTTCTAGTTGCCATGCAAGTCACCTTCAAGACGAAACAGGTGAACCCACCCAAGAGCAAAAGCTCTCAAGCCAACAGACAAACGCTGCCTTTCCAGGGGCCGGACTGACATCACGCCAATTCAGTCAATGCAGCATTTAAAGAACCACACTGAGTTGCTTCTGTGTCAGTCCTCTGAATTCAAACGCTGTTAAACCGAAGGAGAAAGAGCGTAATTGGTCTGCCTTAGTAGTAGTAGTATTTATATATTTTGATAACGCTTTGAATTGCAATTTACTTCTGAAACCTTGCCCTTTGAAAAGCACACACCCTTTGACAATTTTTTCAGGCTTCTGTTCCTTTAAAATTCTTTGTTTTTACTGCTCTTTTTCAATTATCTACCAGAAAACTTGCTTTCTTCCAGCAGAAACGTGGCTGGCAGGCTCATGCTTTCACTGCACCCGCTCTGTGAAATTCTCTGGGAAAACCCCTCGGCATTGGTCAAGTTCCTTATGCTGGATCCAGTCAGACTCCTTCACACCCATCAGCCATCCTTCATCCTAGAGGAGAAGACAGAGATGAGACGTTGAGGGTGAGATAAGAGTGAGGATTTTTTTTTAGAGTGCAGGCCAAGGAGATGTCAAGGCACATCGAAGCCATGCTCATGGTTGGCTTGGAGAGATCCAGGTAGAGGATTGAGGAGAGGGAGATGAGTGTTTTTGTTTCCTTTTAAACAGAAAAGGCCACATTCCAAAGTCAGCACTAAAACTTGCCTGACCCCGAGCATTTGGAAGCAATGAAATGTACACAATCCACAAGTGCAATAGAAACATTTCATTATTCACATCCAGTGCAGCAGGAGACATTCTCTGGAGCAATGGGATCTGCCCTACCTTTCAACTACCTAAACACAATGGATTTGATGTTCTCCATCATCAGGAAAGAAATGGGCACCTCCACAGGGCACAGGTCTTCAGAAAGACCCATTTTCTGGTGCTCTGGAAGTGCTCATCTTCTGCTCCTGTTTGAATAGCATTTGACACAGCTTACACAACAAAATGAGTCTTGCTATAACTCAAACATGGTCTAAGAAAACTGAGAGCTGAGGAGCTCAACATCTAATCCCAAAACCCAGCAAGCTGTTGGGCTTGATGCAAAACGTGGTTGGAAGAACTCCCCATACACAAGCATCCTCCTAGCCATTAAACCCACAGACATTAAACCCAATCCTCTATAAACAGGGATGACTTTTCACTGAAGCAAAATGAGTCCTGCCTGGTAGAACCTGCTCAGGAGGAGAACCAGTCTTCCTTCCATCCCGTGCTCTCTGCAAAGCATCCAACATTGAGATTTCTACTCAATTTGAAGAACATGAGGGAAGTGAGATATTCAAGGTGAGATGGTTGCACTGTTTGTGGCTCAAGTGTGCAGCTACCCAGTTGAATGCATGCCTTGAACGACTCCCACCTCTGCATGCCACCCACCCCTGCAACCTGCAAGTGCTCATGCATGCCATTTGCAGTGGGGCAGCCTAAGCATCAAGACCACAGCATGAGGCAATGGAGCTGTATGAAGGACCACTGCCTTCAAACTTAACAGCTTGCTCTGCATCTGCTGCTCTAGGCAAAGCATACACCAGGTTCATTTAGAGCTATGTCAACACATTCAGCTTCATAACTTGCCAGAGCAGAAATACTCGGGCAACCAGATGCTCTAAGCTGTGGAGAAATGGGGCATGCTTGTATGCAGTTCACACAGTTGTTCTGACTCGCTCCTGGAACCAGCAGGAGTTACCTGTGAATTTTTGCAATGACACACACTGCCTCCCTTCAAACATATTCTTTAAAAACATACCTGCACAGTGCAGGAACAATGCAGCCCACATCAGGGGTGATCCATGGGGCATGTATTGCTTTCTACTGCCATGTTATTGCTTCTGCTCTCATGCTTGTGTGTTTCCAAGTGGCAGTAACTCAGATCAGCCACTGTACCTGAGTTCCCTGCTCCATGCAGGCTGCATTGGGTGCCTGCAGGCTCAGACAGCCCTTGCTGCTGCCTTAGAGTTGAGCATTCAGGGGATGTCAGGGGAACGACGTGAGTCAGGAGCCCATCTGCAGAAGCCAGCTGCAGGGGCTGCAGACAGACTGACATGCCATAAATCAGGAAGACAAACTACTAGGCAGAAGGCGCTGGGCGCAAGTGCCTGGAAGGCAGCTTCTAAGCTCACAGCACAGCAAGCACAAAAGCTCATCCATTTGCATCTAGTGTATGTGCCATACAGCATGCATCACTCCCACAGCATCAGGCTTCAAAAGGATCTCCTCAGCTACAGGGATCAGACACTGGGACCTAGATTGACTCCTGACTACTCTTAACATCATATGAAGTGCCAGATTAGAAGCACTGCTGCCCTCAATGCCTTCTGTCAAGGGAGATGACTCCAGGCCTGCTCAATGAACACAGACACCTAAGCTGCAAGATGGGGACATGGCTCACAGTCTATTATCCTAGGCTTTCTCCACCCACGTGCACAATTCATGCACATGTTAACAGCCAAGATTTTCTGGCTGGGTATGGTAAGGGTTAGGGAAATGAGCTGTAGCACGCTATACACTGTAGAGGGTTAGAGGGCTTCAGTGCAGCTACAGCATTTGTTAGCAACACTCAGAGCTCACCCTCTGCAGCCTGGAGAGTCTTGAGTTCATGGCTGTTGCACCCACATCCAGCTAGAGTGCAAACATAGGGCATTGAAAAACTCTGTTCCATAAATGCCATCTCCTACCATTGAAACCAGAGGAGCTGCCCTTCATTTCCCATCCAAAAAGTCTTATGAGATGGAAATGCTCATAAATGCTTGTGCAGGGCAGTCCCATCCACTGAAGAGTCTTGTCTGTGGAAGGAATCACTGCTTCTTCCCATACAACCCTTCCTCACAGAGCATTCTGTGCTGCGGGAAATACCAATGTATTACAGATCCCATTTTGCAAGCAGCAGCAAGATCTCCCTCTGTAACTCACAAAGTCAACAGCTGAGCCACATGAATCACATCATCTTTGAACTACACTGTTTCTTTACCCCTTATGAAATCCTAATCTTGTCAAAACCGAAGAGGCAGTGACTTCTGAATCAACTGGAAGAATTCCCTTCCTTTTCCAAATGAAAATCTGAGATCTGAGCTTGATTTTTACAAAATCACCACTTCTCTCAGCCAAGATAGTAAAACTGCTGCAGTCTCTATCAGCTGGAAGCCCTCAAACATAGCAAGTGAGGAGGATTTACTCGAGGCTTTTAGAAATAGCTGAGATTAAAGAAAAAAAACCTGCCAATTAAATCCAGGCCAGAGAAAGACAGGAAGCATGTTCTCTGGAGTTGGGCATCCTGCTCCAGCCTGTGGTTCTGCTGCCATCTCCTGGCCACACACTGTCTTTTGGAAAACTTTGGGTAGTTCCTGCCAGCGCCACGGTCTGCACTGCAGTGGTCACAGATACTGTGCACGAAGACCAGGAGCTAAGTTTGAGCTCTGTTTGGCTCCCTGTGAAGAAAGCCATTGCCTTAGCTCAGATGCCCCGATAAGGGCAGGACACCATGGCTGCTTCGCATGCTTTATGCAGGATAATGAAAGTCTCCACTTTCCAGTCACAAGTCGTCTTCCTCTGTTGCAGGAAGACAAGGACAGGAACAACTGGCTTTGCAGCCAGCTTCCAGCCACAAACTGACGACTCTGCATACAGCCAGACTGTTAGTGGAGAAAGAAGCAGCTCCAGAAATCCCTTTGGCTCATCCCAGCCCAGGCACACACCCAGTCTTCCCAGCTCACCTGCTCCTCAGGGTTCTCAAATGGAATCACAAGCACCACATCCCCGGCCTTCAGCTGCAACTCATCACTGTCAGTAGCTGTGTAATCATGCATAGCCTGGACCTATAGCCAAAAAAAAAGAGGAGAGCCACACGCGTGTTAATACCGACCAGCACAGTCACAGGAGCATCCTGGTGACTCACTCAATTAGTTATGCATCAGCACCTGCACATCCTTCCTTTAGATGAATGTGTTTCCAGGTGTTCCCATGGTGCAGGCCTAAGATTTGCATTCACTCAAGTGGTGCCCTGTGTTCTTTCAGCATCTGGATTTCAAGAGTATTAGAGGTCATAGCCTCCCCACTCTGTCACCTATGCTTACTCTCCCCGTTTGATACAAAAGCATCAGTTTGGAACTTCAAGTGATTTTCTCCTGTTGTATTTCTCTTTCTTCCAGCCCGTCTACTATCAAGATCTGTGTTATAGTCTTTCTGTTTCAAGCCAAAGCCCTTCACTTCAACTACTACAATAATATGCAACTGCTATAACAAACTATAATTCCGCCCATAATCAGTCAGAATGTAATGACCCTCCTATTGTTCTCCCAAGTTTAGCCATCCTTTTGCTTTTGGTGGATTTCCCAGAAAAAGCCGTATGAGAACATAACTGAAATAGAAAAAAAAAAAAAAAAAAATTCCTACACCAGAACAGACAAACAAAAAAGGAGGCTGTCACTTCATGGGGCATGATGCATTTGTGATGCCTTGCTACCAAGACTCTTCAATGTGACATAGCCCATGGTCACACTTAGTGAATGTAGTTAAACTGTTACTGGAACTAAATCACCATGAACCCGGTGTCCCACCAGCACACACTCACCTTGAACAGAAATCCTGGTGGCATGTCAGCTCTTTCAGAGGAGGCGCCTCCTTCCACGGTGCCATTGACAGTAGCAGGGAAAGTCTCCACAACGACAGCGGGCAGAGAGCTCTGGTAGGCAGCAGCCAAGGAAAGAAAAGGACCATTGAGAAAGGAGAATCCAAGATGGGTAGTTCACTGATCCGTATCGAAGGATTCACATCAAAACTATCCATAACCCAGTTGGGAATACCAACTCCATCCAAGTTTCAGTGGGTTTTCTCAACAGTGACAAGAACACTCCAAATGACAGTAAAGACTGCTGCCCTTCTTTGCTTATGGCTGCAAAGTTCATGGAGGATTTAGAGCATTTTTCTGGGACCACACTTGCAGCATTTTCCATTTAATGCAGTCACAAAGCAGTCCTTGTGAAGTCCATGAAGAACAAGTCACAAGTGACAATCTATAGGAATCAAGCAGCCATAAAATGGACCTACTCCAGCCCCTAAAAACATGATAGTGTCAAAAGAGAGGAGATCTGGTTATTCAGGAGGTGTAGGCAGAGCTCAGGGAGGTAAAGTAAATGGTGGGAAAGGAGGAGCCCATCAGACGATGCAAGCTTAATATAGAAGGGGCTGTAGGCTGGCTTCATGACATGAACAAATAGAAGGCTCTTTTTAAAGATCTTCCAGCTGAGCTTATCCCTAAGTATCACACAGGGAAAACACAACCGCTAACTCTGGCCTTTGAGTAAGACCATTGTAACTGCTCAAGCAGCAAGGGTGCATTTTTCCAAGCCATTGCAAACCTCTTTTCTCAGCCTAGTTTCCCATATGTCGGCTGTATGACAAAGAGAAGTGGTGGAGAAGCAACTACTTTCTCTTGAGATACTTACCGATCCTGAATCACCTTCAGTTTTAGATGCTTCAGCTCCAGCTGCTGCTTCAGATCCAGCTGCTTCAGCTCCTGCATGGGCTGCTTCTGTAGGCTGCAACACAGAATCCATTCAAGTGGAGTTACTCTCATTACCGTCATATCTGTGTGCAGAAAGTACAGCTCAGTCTGTCCAAGTGCTCCCTACACGGTTGATTGCTGCCATCTGCTGACAAACAGGTGAAGAACTTCAGTTCTCACTACATCTGCCTCCCCAATTCTCTGCAGCCTAGAGAAACCACAGTAAAGCCTGAATCCCCTCTCAGCCACACAAGAGACAATACTGCAGGAGAAACAATGCAATCCTCAGAACCTGTATGCCTTTTCTTTTCAGGATTTAACATACTGACTTACATACACAGTATCTGTTACTACATCTAGATTTTCACTTGCATGTGAATACTCAATGTGAATGCTCACATACCAACAGACAGGGATCAACCAATAGGCTATTTCCAAGTATCAATAATCAGGGAACATTTGAGCCTTCATATACTCCCAGAAAAAGAAGAGCATGGTAATAACGTGTCCAGATGTGGAACTTTGTGTGAACCTAGCATCTTTATAATGTTAGCTTTGAATGAAAACTGAAAACTATGCTGATTTTAATCCAGTTTGATTCTGGACAGGCCCAAAGAGTCATGAATTTGGATTGTTTGTAAGAATTTGCTATGACTATTCTGCATGGTCTGCGTGGTTGGTAGGGAAGAATCTAATGCACAAAAGCTACCTCCACCAGGAGCTATTCAGCATCACTTACAAACCACTGCCCAGCAGAGATTGCTCCTGGAAGTAGGGAAACTGATGCTTCCACGCACAGCAAAGAATGAGCTCTAGTACTCATCCAGAGCTTCAAGCTTTTGGTCTCTCACACCTGATGCCAAGCTGTTTTAATGCAACAATAAAGACATTCATTTGCCCCTCCCAGAAACTGCAGCAGCATAGGAATTAAGTTGGATCTGGAAGCATTAATACTTCCAGCCAGATAGCATTAGAAAGACTCCTGACAAGAATCTCACGGGCCTAGTAAGGTCTGTTTTCTAATTTAATGCCTGGAAGCATTCACTGCCCATCTATATTTATTCAGTCATAGCACAGACAACTCTTTGTATAATCTAACTAGATTCCTGCTTCAAACTTGCACAATAGAAACTGCTAATACAGACACTTCCCATTTTTAACACGTGGATAAACAAGTTTTTACATGCCTGCATGATTCATACATTTGGTAAGCACACGTACCTCCAAATACAACCATTTTCAAAGCAAAGCACTGTCCAGATATCCCACTATTGCAATTCTCCTAGTCCCAGCTCTATAGAAGCACTCTGGCCAGGTTCAACTGATCAGTGAACCCCCCAGCTTTCAGCAGTTTCCCTGGGAACCCAGATAACTTTGTTGAATCTGGGCCCTGCAGACATTCCAAGCCAACCAATGGTGACTGAAGCTCAGAAACAGTCTGTGGACTGATCCCAAACTCATCCTTCAGACAGGGAGGTGTCCTCGTCCTCATAAGAACAACAAGAAAATGCACAGATCCACCAGGTTTTAAGCCACGCTCTGAACATCCTTCCTTCACCATACCTTTCTTCCATCTTCCTTCATCAGACCTGGGCTGACACCAAGCCAAGCTCTGTGCCTTCATTGCAGCAGGTGTGCAGCACCAGTCAGGCGAGTGAACACCAATGCTCTCTGAATTAACCTGGCCAGACCAAAGCATGCACACACTGTGTAAAGCAGCAGCCATGCTAACCCCAGCTCCATACTCATCTGAGTACCAGATACATACTGGCACAACTCTCCGAGTTGTTTCCCAGTAACAGCAGAAACAATCAAGAAAGAAATACTTTTATTTAACCAAAAGCCATCACTTAAAGTTCAGCTGTTCCAACGGTGCCATTTAACACACGCTTTCCTCTCCTGACACATCCTTCCTCGTATTCCCCCATCAGCATGTCCACAGGCCAATGTTGCCAGAGGATATTACAAATAGCAGACCTGTTCCCATCCAGCAGATTCCCAGAGTAGCTTTGGAAGAGCTAAGGTAAATGTATGCATATTAAATGCTACAAAGGCTTCTCCTGTTTAATTAGATTTGCTCCCAGGTTGCCTTTTATCTGGACTCAGTGCAACCAGAATTGGGACAGATGCCAGCACAGCTCTATCAGACCAAGAATGGTTTTTATGTGGATAGGTAAAAAGCAGCTCATATTGAGCCACAGATTTCTTAAAGCAGCTGATTTGCAAAAACAATATTTAATAACTAGAGAAATTGGACTTAAATTAATTCCCCGTATTTCAACAAAAGGCATTTTCATGTCAGCTACTTATTTTCTATTTTATGTACCTGTAGGCATGCCAAAAACATTTGCAGTCATGGAAAGAAGAGTGAGAACTGCTCACTGCTGCTGCCCGTTTGAAAGCTTTGTTTATTCCAACAGCAGCATCACACAAACAAAGCACAAGTTTACTTGTCTGCAGAATTAAGCAAGTTCACCTGCATCCAAATTTCTATGGTTATTAACCACATAACATATGGTACAATTTTATCATCCAACAGACCTCTCATCACCATCTAAGAATAATATTAGAGCAAAAACACTTCAGAAGGCTTGAGGAGACAAAATTTCCCAGATATAGGGAGCTGTGTCCTTTAACAGTGTATGTTCAGGTGGCAACTGGCGTGCTGAGAGCCTCTTGCTGTAACAGCGTTCCCCAACTGATTAAACTGTCCTTTGGATGAAATCAGTTTCCAAAATGGAAGAAATGACTTCAAATACCTTTTGCACCTAGACTACACCACATATAGTTATACCTCACCCACTGCCTGTCCACTAGAATGGCAATTCAAGTGCCAATGCACTGACTTTTTACTTTCCCAGACAGACTAACAATGCTCATAAAAGGGAATGACAGGTTAAACACTGATGGCTGATAAAACACTCAAGGGAAACATCTTTCAACAGACTCATGTGAAGGACAGCCTTGGCCGCTGTGAGTCCTTGGGCCAAACTCTCAGCAACGGCAGAGCTGCTTTCTTCCATGTACTTACTCTAAATAGGGGATGTGGATTTTGAGAATCCAAAGATTTCCAGGACTTGATTCCCTGGTGCAAGCCAAGGACATGAGGCCTGTATCAACTGTATGGGCTACAGCCAGCTCAAGCTGCAGGTACGAATGCCCAGATCACACATTTTCTGCCTACACTGCTACCTGTTTGTCCAGAGGGGCTCATAATCAGCAGTGCTTGATGCATCTCCCAGTGGGCTGTTTTGCAGTGCTCCGAGACCTTCCCAGGCTTGATACATCTAGAGGGCATAAATGAGTCCACTGTTTGGGTTCAGATGTAGAGCATGTAGGCTCTTCCTTAGTCAGAAAGCTCCAAAACTGGGGCTGTCACAGACAACAAGCAAGCCTTGGGCCTGCACTTAAGTTTTTGCATGGACACAGGCTGGGTTATTTCACATCAGCCTTTCTGACAATGATGGTCAACGAGCAGCAAATAATGCAGATAACCTCAAATATGCACACGTATACCCAACGGTACAGGCAGTAAGGACCAAGGACTCCTGAGACATTTATGCATCACACACAAGACCAACAGGATATACACAAGGAAGGGTGGAGGGTGAGGATGATGCCACAGTGGGATTAAGTCTGGGAAAAAGGTCTCAGTATCATGCCAAGGGAAAGATAAGCGAGTTAGCAGGGAAAGGCTGTGGCGTGGTTTGCTGCTAGAGGCATTAAGCTACAGTGCCAGACGTGGCAAACGTGGCTGCCCCAGGGCTTTATGGGCAAGGTATGTAAGTGGGCTCAGCAGTATATGGAGAAACTTTGGTTTGAGGTGTGCAAAGAGGAAAAGCAGAGAGGGAAATGAGACAGATGCAAGCAGGGATGGCACAGGCGTGCACAGTATGTGATGAGAGATGACAGCCATAGGAAGTTCTTACCTCCCACAAATCCCAAGGTAAAGACTACGCATGTCAAAGAGCAACAGAAACAAAACATGTTTATATGCAATTATTTCAGCAAGTACAAAATTACAGACAGTCTGAAGCAGACATACACATTCAACAGCACTACTTACCTCCGTATGGTTTTTTTGTTTTTTTTGTTTTTGTTGTTGTTATTAAGTGTGCAGATCTATACACTCATCCCCTTTGCATTTCCAAATTAAGCACTAACATATCCGAATGAGGGTCATTCCTTGCTCTGGTATGAAGGGAGACAGCTAAGCCACATTCAGTTATTAGTGCCAGTACTGACAGGAAAAAAAAAATCATGAATTTGTGGTCTATCAGAGTTAAATATTCTCTTATCTCCTCAACCAGAGTTACACGTTATTTCAGAGCAAGACTTCAGCCCATATCTTTGGATCAACAGCGAAATATTTTAACCTCTCTGCCATATCACTTGCCCCGTGGGAAATAAATCTGAATTCTTTGAAAATGGGGAGGTTTGTGCTAGGTTTAATACCGTGGTTACCACTGTAAAGTATTAATTTCAGACTCCGAAGTGACTTCTGAAACTAACAATAAATGTGCAACATGTTACTGTTGAACAGTTTTAAAAATCCCACTCAGCATAACATTTATTGCATTTATTGCAAATAAGTTCATTTTAAAATAAATTCATACTCATATCCAATGTCAACATACCCAATTATTCAAGTTATAACAGGTGATTCAGAACAACAAAAAGCAAGCTTATTCTGGGGTATGTAGCAGTGATGCAGTCAAGAAATGCCAATCTGTCCATTTAAAGTTCCCCAAAGTGGCAGTTTGGCACATTGGTGTGTATTAAACTATGCTAATAATGAGAATTTTGCAGACGCAGTATTTTAATTTAGAAGCATCAAACTTTTAACAGAGATCCTACTGCTAGAAAGATCAGCCATACAGGCCCACTTGACTTCATGATACTGGAAAAATACTGTAACATCCAAATTATATTACTACAAATTTTAGTGGAAACCACAGGCTAAGAACATGTATTTCACACATAAGAAATGGAATGTCTGGGTGAAAGAAACCAAAGTGCAGCCCACCTGTCTCTAGTAGGACAGGAACAGCTACAGGTCAGACCAGAATTATGAATCTTCCTTTTATTTCACTGTGAGGCAATATGTCCAGGGAGGAAGCCACTTCATTATCATGAACAGAGGCTATGTTATACTCAGACAGAAGGGCCTTGTGTCACTTGAGTATCTCTGAAGTTTTATTCATCTTAAGTAACTGCAGACTATCAAAGTGTCTGTTTACTAAAAATCTCTTTGAGAACAATTTACAGCAGGAGCACAGAGCAGAGGTTGAATGCCTACCCATGGTTTAAATCCACACAGTATATAGAGGATGTTAATCTATGGATGGAGATCTGTGAACGTGTTGTCAAGAAGTAGATCACCTGAGCAAAGCACAAGCACCCCACAGACAGCTAGCGCCAGACTGTGGCCTGGCTAACAGCCACGTGATTCTCACTGGACTTTCATATGCAGCAGAGAAGACCAAGGTGCCCATCTGCAGGGCATCAGAAGTTGGTGGCTTCCAGCCCAGTCACCCAGAGCTCAGGTCCAAACTGTCACTGATGTGGTTGCAGGTCACACCACCTCTGGCAACAACTCATTTTCAAAAAGAGAGAGGGAGAGTTGGATATTAACCAACCTGAGAAGCAGGTGTAGGGGTCTTCCCCATAGTGGCATCTGGTTTAATGGGATCAAAATCCAGATCCAACAGGCTGGCTCCCTCCTGGAAGGGCCCAGGGGCATCAAACTTGGCAGCAGTGAGGAAGAAAAGCAGTACGAGCATTAGACACGCACACATGTACAGTACAGACAAGGTATGCAACATCCAGGTGCTATGGCTGCAAGCGTAGAAGACAGTGTGGGAATGTGAACACTTGATGTGGCTCCTGACTCTGGGATGCCTTTAATCACGGGCAGTAAGCAGGGCTCCACTGAGCCAAACCTGAGCCTTTTCCATAAGGCTCACTCACCTTCTCATCTGACCAAATGAGCTCACATGGTGCAAGCACCTGACCTGTTACAGCCAAAAGGATCACTGCCACTAACCAGGTCAGGTGGTTTTTTTATTTATTTCTACACCTTACAGCTCATCCAGCTGCCTTTGTGTTGAAAGCCCAGGACAGACTTACTCAACCACACATCTCAGCAATGTATACCCAGACAGAAAAACAAGCAAGGCTCAGAACTAACTCCCCAAGCTCTTAATTCCCTTCAGACACAGAAACACATAACATAAAAGATCATCCTAGTTATGGGAATCATATCACTCCAGTTCAAAACGATATTTACAATGCTTTCCATTTCAGGTATCCCAGAAACACGCATACACAAGCCTTCCAAAGCAGCATGCATGTGCTGCTCTCTTCCAAGTCAGCAGAATAACTTTCTGATTAATGCAGCAGCTGAAGACAATGACAGCACATTCACTAATTACCTTTAATAAAATAGTTACAACAAAGGAGTATTCAAAATAAGACAATATGTCTGCTTTTAAATTTAGCATAACCACAAGACTCTACTTGTATTTCTCTTCAGAGGAAGCTCAAAGTGCAGGAGGAGTTGACCCCATTTTCATTGATCTCTGAAGTTCACTTGCCGTACCACCTCAGCTACCTTTCCAATAACACACCAAATCTGGAAGGCTGGCCTTCACAACTACATCATAGCCACACCATGAAAGAACATGGGGAAAACAGCAATAAAATTTAAGTGGAAGTCTTCTGCATGCAGCTCATACCATCACCATGTTTTATTTTCCTTTTATTTTCTCTTACTGCGATTCTCTCTTGGACTTTTCCCTCCCATAACAACATTCTCTCCTCTTTCTGATATCCACAGTTCCATGAGGATGACCAAATTCTCCCATCTCACAACAATAAACCTTGACCAGTATGTTAAAACTGGCATTGAGCACACTCCTCCAGTGCACCCAGGCCATCAGGAAGGCTCAAATCCCAATCTTCAGCTTTGTTTGGTGGTGGGATGGTCACGAAAGTATCTTACCTGTCATTCAAGACTTACATGCAAGGCCTAGCACCTTTTGCCTTTACCCAGATCTCCCACAAAAAAAGCTCACTGGAGCCAAGACATCTGACAGGAGCAGCCCTGGGCAATGCACTGAACACTAGCGCCTGTTGAGCGCTTCGGTGAAGATTGTTCTGGCAACCAGAGTCCTCCTTCAGAAATTTAATCTGATTGAATGTCACAGCAGATCCCATCCCGGGTCAGGACACTGATCAGGTGCAGAATACGACTGGCTAAGGGCAGGCATTCACATGGAAATACAAGATGCAAACCATGGGGCAGACAGAACTGTCCATTATGATATAAGAGAAAGAAGTATAGAGAACGAGAGTCGCTCAGCTGCCTGTGGTCTCCACGCTTCCAACGTTGCAGTCAAATCATCTCTGCTCTGCAGGCTTTATCTATTGCAATGCAAAATCTGACATCATCCTTTCCTCTCCACTCTACCTTGACTCTTCAGCAGTGAGGTGGAAGGTGGCAAACCAGAGGCAACGGAGCAGCATGACATGAAGAAGAGTCAGCAAATGAGTCACAGATGAGAACTGCTACAGGCATTACTTGTGCTTTAACAAGCATTTAGGGTCAAAAAAAAAAAAAAAACACACAAAACCGAACAGTATATGTGTGTATATATATAAAAATATAAATGCAGGTATCTCATGATGCAGCCAGAAATCTGGTCAGGCTCCTGTATACATAAGAACATCTGTTCTCCTAGATCCAACATAGAATGAATTCCCCAAGCGGGCATCCTCTCTTCCAGTGATGTTAATAATAAGGTAAATAAAGATGAAAATTCATTGCTTGAAAATGCTGTTACCATTTTTAGAGCTTCAAAAGGTGTCACACCTCAGGAAAAAAATATTCTTATGGCAACTGCTGGCTGGTGAAAACAGTCTGTCAGGAGCCCTGAATTCACAGCAGGCACAGCCCTGCCTGTTTACGCTTCAGTCACCAATTCCTGTTGGCTTTTCCAGTGCATGTGTGGGCTGTAAAAGTTAATACAAAGCCCCACCTAAAGAGCACAAAACTGCCTTCTAAAAAGGCAAAAAAGACAGGGTCAGAGATTGGGATTGTACAAAAGTAGACAAAACAAGCTTCATCCACACCTAGGATCCCTGGGCCTGGAGAGAGCATATCATGGGACGCAAGGGATGCTACACTCCACATACACTGTCACTACGCAAACACAATGATAATTTCTGAACTGAGATTCTGGCATCTCCCACTAGCTAAATTTCTCCCATTTCTTCTATGAGGCAAAGCTCTCAAAGGACTACATGTTTGTCTGAGCTGCCTTCCAGCTACCTTGCCTTCCAAAATAGCCCCCTATCTCCCTCTTTGCCTTCTAAGGTCCAATGCTGAGACTGCCTTCCTCCTTCACCTGACCAGGTTTCATGGCGTGACACCTCCAGAGAGAAGAAAGATGAAAAGAAAAAGTTCAGAGGCAGACAAATACAATGCAGGGCATAGCAGCTAACCTGCGAGGGGGTTGTCACACTTATCTCAGGGACAAAATTGTCATCAAACAGACTGATGATGTTCTCCTGCTTGATCTCCTTGGAAGGGGTGACTTTTGGAGGCGGAGGCACCGGAGGCCCTTTCCTCAACTGCATGCAAGTGAGCACACGGCCACAGCACAGACGGCGACACCCAAAAAAACCAGAGACAGGAACCAGGTTAGCCACAAAAATTGAAGGTGAGGGAAATCACAACCACAGGCACAGAGAATGGTCCAATCAACTCCATCTGGAGAGAAAGGAAGGGAGAAGGGGAAAATGAAACAAAATTAAAATAACCACACGCCTCCAGAGAAGGTTTGGCATCATTAGTTACACTTCAGCTATGGGCAAGTTTCCCTCTGCAGAAAAGAAGCGTAACAATTAATATGCATTGACAGGACATGCATACATAATTAGAACATGTGCAACCTTCCAAAAAAAATAAACAAAAAACAACCAACACTGGGGAGGAAGCAGACAAGTTACTAAGAACACAACTCAGTAGACCAGGCCAGTTCTGCCTCCATTTTCCATACTTACCATACTTAAAGGAATAAGAGCCCAGACTCTGTCTTATTGTGGGATGCCCATGAGGCCAGATTCTGATCTGCCCGGCAACGAGATAAACAGTAGACCATGAAGTCAGAAGGAATTCTTCATGGCATCTTACCATGTATCTCAGTTTTCGGGAAGAACACTTGAATTTCCTGAGAAGCCAAGACTGCTGTGGGTCCACCTCTGCTCTCAGTTTCACCAATGCACATCAACACTAATGAAGTCACAAGTGTAGCCCAAATGAAGACCCCAGAGAAAGCAAAATGAAGACTGACTCTAACACACCCTACTACTCTCTTATCAAGCTAAAAGACTCAGCCTCACGCTGCATCCAGCCCCAGTGGGAAGCTGCAGTAGACCCTCCCTAGATCAACTGATCCACACCCTCTTCACATTTTCTTGTGCCCAAGCCTCAATGCTCTCTTGTAGCTCCAACCAAAGTCTGAAGAGCTGTTCCTGTGTTGGAACAAAGCAGCCATATAAGTTCCCTGCAGGCTGGGAGGTTCCAATTACAAACTCAAAACTAAAAAGATCCTGACATTTCTGTGATTTACTACTCTGAAATAGTCCCCTACCCTCTCCTGTGTGCTAATATCTTCGGAGACTTACACAGCATGCAGCATCATCTCCAGCAGCAGTTTAACACCATCTCAAAGATAACGGAACTGCATATTGATGTTGGGTTGTACCTGAAACTGCGCAAAGCATGAAGAACTTTGCTGACTAGAATAAATCCCCTAAAGTCTTTTTGCTGATTTGGATCCCACAGAGCTTTATCGGTCTAAAAATTCAGTACAGTTCTGCTGTTTTCAGAAGTGCCTTTACAGTATTTCCGTGGTGTAACTGAGAGCAAAAGGTGAACCTTTGAAATTTCCCAGACCCCTCAAGCCCTGTGTCACCTCCAAACTACTAGGTGTGGAGTGCTGCAGTCAAGTTCCAAGACACAGAAACTCCAGAACAGCTGTTTTTCCTCCCTGTGGAGTCAGTCCCAACTCTTGGCACCTAGGAAGCATAGAATGGAGCTCTTGTTCTTTACTGTATTGAGGTCTAGAAAATGAATTAAATGTAAAGTAGAAAAGAGCTGCCAGCTGGTGGCAGCACACGCTGCTAAACACCATTTCAGTCTTGCCTTGACTCTCCAGAAGCTCTGCTGGAATATTCTGCTTGCTCAACATGGGGCGGCCTCCAGCCCCATTCCTGTGGGCAGGAAGGCAGCAAGTGAATGAGCAAGCACTTGCAGCCTGGCAAAAACAAGGTCTATGTGCGCTATTTAAAGGAAAGGGAAAACAAGTCTGAGTGAAGTCTGCAGTGAAAAGCTCAATAGATTTGTACCATTTCTTGTTCCAAATTTCCACCAAGTTGTAGTGATCTCAGGAAAAAAAAAACAACAGTAAGGCAGTTCTAGAAAGACATACACTATTCTCTCCCTTTAAATATGCAAACTCCACTCCAAGGTCTTGGCCTGGGTGGCAGCAGTTAAGTCACTCTAGGCTTAATGCTGGGTATGCAGAGACCCTGAAGAAGTCCAGCAAAGATACAGCCAGGTATCCTCGCTGGAAGAGACCCTTTTGTCAATGTATAAATATCCTTTTTTGTCTCTAGATTCTCTGAAAATCAAAAACATAATGGGGGGAAAAAACATTGTGAGAGGCTATTCCAGAAAAGGTAGACAGCTCTAACAAACACAGGCCTGGATTTGGAATCATACTGCAAACTTACAACAGCAAAGAAGTCTTGTTTTACTTTCAACCTTTTTTAGCAGCAGTAGGCATTTCTTACCAGTTTGCCCAGATTCCTTATCAGATTTAATTTAGGAAGGAAGACTCCTCTTTGTTGTCCGACTTACTGAAATGCAATGACTGGTATCAGACATGAAACTGGTCTATTTGTTCTTTCTTCCCACCACACTTTTTTCTCCACTTACCAATAAGGGGATGGGGAAAAGAAGCAAATATTTTATTTTCCTTAAATCCCAACATGTGATACGCTAAGAAGCAGCCGCTACACATTTTAAACCTGCTGCTGGGTGTCTCCCATGTAAGAAGAGGACAAACAAAGGCCTAAGAAATGCCATATGGAAGGTATCAAAAGCCAACTAACAGTTCTCTCCCTACTACCCAGCTAATTTGTTCATGGAATAATATAATACCCTTATTATTAACTGCAAGATCAAAATAATAGATTAAAAGATAGTATACTATATTAAAGTAAAGCATCATGCAAAATACTGATGTTCTGCTTATCCATATAAACACAAAACTTTCTTCTTCAGATTCTCCTCAGTAAGGGAAGTTCTTGGGAAGAGGCAGGACCATTGGATTCCACAGGTTAATTCAAATGTAAAGAGCAAACCTCCTTGCCTAGCTACATTTTCCCTGGATTTTCTTGACCATCCTACCTGATGGCAAAATACATTACCAGCCTCATCCCTGTGTACGAGCAATTCAGAGACAGCTTGGTTCTTCCCTGCATAATACAGAGATAATCAATTAACAACTTGCATTCTCAGAAATCTCATGCTTGCTCCGCACTGATGGAGAGCAACCGGCATGCTCTATTCTGTGCTCCGTAGCAGGAAGAGGTTCAAATAAAAGCAACTTATGGATGTCTTTGACTCACAGAGCATTGGCAATACGGTAGAGACATGATTAACATCATGGGGATGCTACCTGAGATGGTGATTTTGGGATGCTTGCCCCAGGTGCTTCCAAAGTGGATGGTTCCAGCTCATGGTTAACAGTCTTGGTCTCAGGGCTGGTGATGGGAGATCCATCTGGTGGAGGCGAGGGGCTTTTATTTGCTTTCGCTGGGGTGCTGTCACTGAAGGAAGGGGAGAGAGGGAGAAAGAAAGAAAAAAAAAAAAGAGAGAGAGAAAAAGAATAGTCTGAGCAAGGCCTAGGAGAAGTTGAGCTAACCAGCACAGACCATTGGTCTTCACTGCCTGTTTGCTCCACTGCCCAGAAATGTGATGATGATATCTGAAGCCTCTACAAGCTTCCGACAAGCATCTTTGCTGAATCACTTGCTGCCCAACTGCAGCAGGATTACTGGACAGGAGGCTACCCAATAAAGTCCCACTACATTAATATATTTTGCATCAGATATGGGTGAAAAAGGGAGGAAAAAAAAAAAGCACAGCCATCCTTAATTCTCACTGATTCTATATAAGTGCCTATCTTTAAGTAATACATCTCTAGGGAAGCATATGGGGAAAGGAATCTTGTGCAGGTCATTCTGTAACTTTTCCAGGTAAATATTTTCTGAGTGGTGTCATACTGACAGTTGTATGGGTTGTGACCAACAGATCCACATGCAGATCTACAACACCTAAACTATGGCAGTAATAAAAGATACGTGGTACAAACTGTCTAAGCTGCAACAGAGAAAAGCAGACTGAGGTTTCACAGATCATGCCAGTCAGCAAAGAAACAGAGAGATTTTGGCTAATAAGCTCTATCATGGAAAGTTTCCTCAGCCTGTTTTCAATGATGAACTCTTTTATGCCTTTGCCTTCCCAGTTGGTCCTTGCTCCTTGACCATTTCTGACACAATCAAGGAGGATTCCTCAGAGGATTAAGATGCAAGAAGCATATACCAATGGTGTTTTTGGTTCATAACTTGGTCAGATTTGGATTTTTGAAAGGAATGGCAATAGGCAAATGCCTCTCCCTAAAGGCTATGCCCTGGCACAGCGTCAGGTCTGTGCTTCAATCTGTGGAATCATGAGATATTTAGCTAAAAGCTGGTTATCTGAGAATTTAGATGGGGGTAAAGGTAAATCCATTTTCCCAGCCTTGGAAAAGTTGAAACACTTTGGCTCCCCAAAAAGCAACTTATCTCAAGTCATGTAGAAGCACTCAAACTAACAGGATATTTTATAGCAGAAGAAGCCTTGCAAAACTACGCAGAGTCAAAATGAAAATATTACAGAATATTTCAAAAGGGCTGTGCAATCTCATCTACAGGGAGCAATATTTGCCTCAATTTACAATGATAAAGTTGCAGCTTTTGTAAAGTTAAAGGTCATGCTTTCCTACAACCTGAGACAATAAATCCTGGCACAGACTGCAACAAAGTAGATCTGAGGGACACATTTTTTCTTTATTCTTTCCCAAGAGTTCTGGAGATGAGGTGTGGTGGTCACTGGCTAACATGCATGATAATCTCATTCCTAAACACTCACAACTAGAGGGGCAGTAACATGAAGGACAGCAAGGCACTTCTGAAAACCTCCCTTCCCAAGCAAGCGTATCACTCTGCTCAGCATTCCTGCTTTCAAGCTTCCCACCCCATTCACTTTGCCCTCAACCATTGCTCCCTCCCACTTTCTTCCCATATACATACAGCCCACACACATTTTCCCACAAAGCACTTGCTCTCAGGTCCACATGCAGGTCAGATGTTTCTGATAACAGTGACACCAGCAGCACACAAACATGATGCAACAAAATCAGTGATGTTCTATGCCAGCAGCTCTCAACCAGGGGCACACACGCAAAGGAAAGAAATGGGGAAAGAATAGAGAAAAAGGAAGATGGACTGAAAAACACATACATCAACCTTTGCAGCTCTCCAATTTGTTTGGATATGTCTAGTGTCCTTCCTAAAATATCCCCAGAAATCACTTTGACACAGTGGGTTGCATGAAAGATTCTGTGGCATTGTCATGATGGAGCTACAGATTAAGTAGCAACAGTCACAGAGCAAAGGTAAGGAAGTCCTGCTGTAAGCCAGAGCTACCAGGCTTCACACAGTTCATTCACAGCATGGAAAACCTGAAATTATTTCAGCAGAAGTTTATCTTGCCGCTATTTCCATGGCAACACCATTACAGCATCATCTGAGGTGGACACAGTGACCTTTCTGAGCTCAGCCTCACTGAAGACATGGGTCTTGAACTTCAGCACGCCACTTCTGGGATCTCAGAGTGGGTCCTACAACACCTTATTGCAATGAGAGTTGCAGAAGAATGGAAATAGTAAGAGGACACAGTGACCTGCAACTGGACTGCTAGGACTTGTCAAATGCCCAAACAGTGCTGGGAGTCCTGGCTACCAACTGGCCTATCCAACACAAGGATAGGTTTCTCCAACTACGCAACTGAAAAGATCATTTCTCCTGGTAAGAAAGGAGCTCACAATCATTTTCTAGAGGCCATGAAATGACTTTCTGGTGACTGACTTGTGGTGTCTGGCAGTGACTTAATTTGGAGATCTATTGGCGAAAGACTCCCATATGAGAGGCAGCCCAGTTTCTTCCTCTTGTCCTGCAAGGGCTGAGAGGGCCCCACACCAAAGCCCTCAGCAAGTCACTGCTATTTACAGCTTATTTGATGTGTTGGCTGATCCCCCTTAGGAAAATGCCAGTGCTAATTTTGACTGAGCCTTTTCCAGCTCCCTGAGCAGCACCTTTATTCCTGCACTTGTTGCTTTGCACGGGTTTAACTAATGTGACCAGCGCCAAATCACCCTGTCACCAGGATCCCGTGGCTTTCACAGGAAACCACACACTGTGTGCTGCACAGAGCAGGGTCTTGCCTCTGAATGGACTTCTTGCTCCAAGAAAGCGTAGGGAAAAGCATGAGTGTTATCATAGAAGAAAGTCAAAAGAAGAAAGTCAATGTAGCCTGCTGTTGCAGTTGCTACTTTTTTTTTTTTTTTTTTTTTTTAAGGTTCCTATGAGCAATTGAGAAGCAACGCCAAATCCAGGAATATCAGGCAGGGAAGGGACAGGGGTGTCACCTTTCTTCTGTGAGTCGAGAGCCAGGAACAAGGTCTAATGCAGTTATCACAGGTGAAGGAGAACCCCAAATCCCACCAGTTTCTTTTAGTGTTGCTGAGCTTCCAGACTCCTCACACAGGTCACCTATTCTGAAGAGCAGACTAACATCTGCACGTGGGGTTTCTATGTGCTTTTAACAATCCCACACTGAAAGATGGAACCAAATCTCCAATATAGTAGAAACAGACAGGCCACCTCCTGCCAAGTTCTCAAGTTAAAAAGAAAAAGAAAAAGGCATCTCAGCTAGAGCTCAGATAGGGTCTTTTAGCTAAAAGTAATTGGGTTCTGTTTATTTATTTATTTAAGCATCAAAGCTCGTTGAACACTCTAGACTTATTCCCACATCAAAAAAGAGGCAGCAGGGGAGACAGAAAAAAAGCACCTATGTACTCAGGTGTCTCTTGGCCCAAATGTACATTCTTGCTGCTGATCAAAGAACACTGAGCCCTTGACCTTCCTTCCCCCACACAAGGGGTCGTGCATTTCTCTGTATCCCTGCAGCTGCTCTGACAGCAGAACCCGCAGCACAGCCTGGATCAAGCACCTTAACTGCTGCACTAGCCAGACTTTTAGAGCGCAGCAGGAGGATGTTGTGGTTAGAGCTCATCCAAATGAGATTTACTAGCTCCCTCTTTGCTGTAGCATCTGCAGGGGCTGACAATGACTGGAAGTGCTACACCTCCTGGTGCAGTCACGGCAATGCTGGCTCATGGTCAGAGACAGACATACAGAGAAGCACTGTGAATCCTCCTTCAGAAGACAATCATTCAATATTTTTCACTTGAGGAAAAAAATAATATTTGCCCATCAGATTCCCTGTGAAATTACCATTCTCTTCCTTCCAGACAGGATGTACAGCAGAGACAAAGAGAAAGGTCAGTGAGAAGACAGGATCAGAAAGCAAGCATCTCAATACCAGCACTTGCTTTTATTGCTGCTGAAATATCATCTTGAGAAAATGTGGAAGAAAAAAAATCCTTATAAAAGGACACCACACAAGGAATATCAACAAAAAGAGTAGGAAAAAACATGAATTAGGGGAAATTTCTATGCCATTATGCAGCAATCCCTGCTTTGCCCCACAGCATATTCTTGTTAGAGTCCTTGACCTTGGCTATAGTAACTGTAGGCATTGTGGCAAACCAGTTATTCATTGCCACAGCTGTTTTGAAAGGCAAGCTGCTGATGGTAGCCTTTATACAGAACAACAGAGGCTTCCCTTTCCTGCAGCTCTGCACAAATCTTAAATGGATGGAATAAGACAGTAAGGATCCTCAGGAACAGAGCAAGTAAAGAGCAAAGCTGAAAGTGGCCCTCTCCTACATCACTGTCCTCCCACTGCAGGACAGGACAGACAGTAGGTAGACAGGAAGGACTGCGTGTGAGAGCTGCCTACTGGTCCTCCTGGGCCAGGCAGGGAATGAGAATGCAGCATTTCAGAGCTGTTCATAAGGGCAAGCCCTGCTAAGTAAAACTAGATCTTGTTAATCACCAAATTAAACCTTATTTCCCCCATACAACCCAGCATCATGCTTTTAGTTGCACAAAAATAACCAAGCAGACAATGCCTGAGCTTTCACACCACCTTTTTTTTTTTTTTTTTTTTGGAGGAAAGGAAGCAAGGATTCAAACCAGGCACACAAGCAGTTAATGGGATTATCCAGACACAGACCTCGGCAGGTCCCAGCAGGCCATGAACACACGACATCATGCAAAAGAGCCCTCTCCCATCACAGGGTTAATACGTGCCAGGCTGTTAAAGAGTCCAGCAACAGCCTCTCCAGTTTTAGGAACTAAATCAAACACATATTGAAATGCTGCTCTCCGTACCGGTACCTGCTCATCTTTTTCCTCAGCCTGGCGAACAGTTTAGTTTTCTTTCTGTTGAGGACGGCACGCAAATCATTTCCGTTACAGGACAGCACAGTCAGACCGGGGAGGAAAAGTTAAGCTTCCAAGCACCCATTCAGCACCTTCTTTCCACCCATTTGTCAGTGAGATGCCAGAGTGATGCAGGAGAATAACTGCACCTCTTCTCACATCTTGTCATTAACTTCCTGCCACTGTATCCATCTCCAATCCCTTTCCCAGCAGAGTAGGGCTAGGGAAGCATCTGCTCCTAATACAGGCCACAGGAGTGGTGAGGGCTATTTCCTCCTGCACGCTCTTGTCCTGAACCACAAGGACAGGACAGATGTAGAGATAAGTGCCTCATGGTATTTCCTGTTCCCTGCAAGGCATTATAGTCCTGGAAATCTTTTATATGCATCCTCCTGTAACTCCCCTGAGCAAAGGGTAACAATAGTCATTTTGGGGCAAGACTCATCTCAGCTGAGATACCCATTCCACCCTCAAATGAAACCAGCTGTGTCTGGGTAGGAATAATGACAAAGGTAATAAATTCATTGAAAACTCTTTCATGCCAAAAATTTGATGCCACAACAAGGATTCATCTAAGATCTGCTGTCACTATAGCAGTCACTTGCTGGAGTAAGAAAGGAAGGAGAAGGAAGGAGCTGGGAAAGCAACAGCACTGGCTTTCACCTGTCTTGCTACCTTATCCTCTTCCAAGTGGATCATGGTAACACGGTGCACAGCAGCAAGAGGATGAGCATTGCTGCCCCATATAAGGCTTCAGTTGTTGGGGATTATAAACAGACATCGTGTGCTAACTTAAATAGAAGATAATACCCTCATAAGATGCACCTTGAGAACGTGGCGTTAGCAATCCAAAATGCAGGGGCCAAATTTAACTTAAACTTCATCTTTCTTTAAATCTGGCAAACACCACACATATTGCCAGAATGAGACAAAAAACTCGTCTATGCATGACTGCAATTGGAGGTTAGACTGGGAGGAGAGTCAAGAGAGCACAAAGGTCTTAACAGCTGATGCAGCCCCTTCCAAACTAATGTGCCCTTACTTCTTACTGATTTCACCTCCTCCCTCTGTTAATACACCAATTGAGGACACAGGCTGTGCTCCTGCTCAGCCAGCATGTGGGATTAGCAGCAGCTGGAAGCCAGAGTCCTACATTGTTTCATCACTCACGCATTTGGATGGGACCCAGATGCAGCCTCATCAAGAGCCTGACCTCTCCCTCCCCTCTTGGTGCTACAGAATGTGCAGATTTGCAGTTAACCTACATGGACTGGACCCAGCTGCAGAAAGAAAACTCAAAACTACAAAAAGAAATTCCAAAGACTGTAGAGGACCCACACTCCTTGCATCCACGCAACTGGGAAGTGCTCTGAGATCAGAAAGCCTCATAATATTGAGGCTACAACTACATCCACAACACACACAGAGGCAACACATCCCCATTTGATGCACAGGAGGGACACAGGGCTTTGGTGAAGAGGATGTTCCAAGTTTGGAGGGCCAAAGGGAAGGCTAGGGAAACAAAGGGGCTCTTGGTCCTCAAGCTCAGAAGTTGCAGGTATGTGGGGGGAAGTTTCAGAAGGAAAAAAAGGGAGGGCTGCAGGGCAACCAGACCCAGGAGGAGTGGCAACCCAGTGTGTGTCATTGGTTCATGGAATTAGACTTTTAAAACTATATAGATGCTACACAATTGCCTAAATATTGGTATGCAGTAGAAGTTGAAGCCTACATCTGCTATCCTCCGAAGGCTGGAGGTATTGCATCATGTCTCCCAGCCCAAGAGCAATCTCAGACATGCTCCAGCAGTTTTCAAGGAGGGTGCTGGCTGGCTGTATGTAAGCAATCAAATCACCCCCCGCTGACAACATGGAGATTTCAAGACCCCAGTAGAAACACTCCTTTTTCCACAGCTTGTCCCTCCTCCTCTGCTGGGAGAAAGACGATGTTTCCTGTTACTAGTTACTGACCTGGGCTGTGCTTTAATGGGAAAGGCATTGCCTGAGTACTGCTTGTCTAGACCCAGCAGGACATCATGGAGGTTTTGGTTCAACTGTAAAATATAAAAACAAAAGAGAGAAAAAGAATGAGAAAAGTGTCCAAAAAGAGCCTGTGCTGGCCTGCTTAGGCTGACAAAATACAGTCTTGTGCCTATATGTGCATATACTTAGCTATCCCACAAAGAAACAGCTCTGTATCTGTCACTACTCCTTTGTGGGGAAAAAAAAAAACCCACAATGCTGAAACCACTGAAAAGCTGCTGGTACCTCATGGGAATGCAGTCTCCCGAAGAGACCATCCTCCTTGCTTCTTTCTCACCTACTCCCACCAGGCACCATTGTAGAAACAGGCAGAGTATTTAACTGAGAGTCTTCCATGTGCTCAAAGTAAAGATCCACTCTAGATTTGTGGCGAAGTTGCTCTTTATACTTCCTTATGAACGAGGGATATAGCAGCAGGACTTCAAGCCAACAGCAAGCTTTGATCCTGCAGGCTGCCTGGGCCATCCAGGTTTAGGCAGAAACTGGATCTCTTGGCAGAAATGCAATGTTAGGGGTTAAACTCTTCCTGACACCAAAAGCTGAAATATTCACTCTGGACACTCCTATCCTGAAAGAGCCAATTCACAAACAAAATTGGATGCCAAATTCCAAATCAGTAGGAGGAGGGATCCAATGCAGTCTGTATCAGAGGCGTCACATCGGCAACACCAGCACTTAGTTGGATGCTATTGCAGTAATAAGAAACAGATGGCTCTTACTGAACAAAGCAGAAGGCCTGTTCTCATACAAAAGTCCTAAGGAAAGAAAAATCCACAACATGATATAAGAGGATAGCTCCTGTCTAGCAAGCATCTTTCCCACCTTCTGCAGAATGTAACTTAACAGCAACAAACCGATAATTGTAATAACCTTCCCTACTCTTAACAATCAGTCCATTTTCCAGTGGAGAAGAGCAGGCCATTAACTGGAAAGGTCCCCATGAACTGTCAGCAGAGCTCAGAACTGATTCATTACACCATAGCAGTAGGCTTCTAGACTGCTGGGAATTTGATGACCATTATAAAGTTGCTTGTTGCTTAGCAGCTATCTTGTTGTTAGGAAGACAGTGACAAGGAAGCAATACCAAAGTTTTCCAGCTGGATTCTCCACTGCTCATCAAGCTCAGAGCAACATCTACAGAGAGTGCATCGGTCTTTGGTGCAACAAAGAGGCCTAAGGAACTCTAGGCTTCTCCAGCTTTTAAGAGTATTAACAGTAAGAACATACCTGTAAATGAAAGTGGCACTGGGAGGATTTCCCTCAGACTACTTCTTAGGTTCCTATTGGGTGATGGCACACAACACAAATCCAGCTGCCACCAGCCCATGACACACAGGTAACTCATGCAAAGGTCACCCTAAGCAATCAAATGCCTTTTTTTGGGTCACAGGGCAGGAAAGAAGACAAAGCAGTGAATTACTGCTGGGAAGGGCCTTCCTAATGGCTGAGTTGGAGTCCAGTCTCACATTGCACTGACATGAAGACTGACAGATTCCCTGATGTTTCTATCCCCACAGCTAGCTGAGGGTTCAGAGCAACTTGCTGCCAGGCAGCGGGAGGAGTGGACAGATGCCAGGCTGAGTGCCCTGGTTAAAGTTTATAGATCCAGATTTTGGAAGAAACAGAGAAAGGAAGCAAAAGAGGGCCACACTTCCCTCTCTGGATCTTCAAATGAGACAACTGACACACACTCCCACTGCAGCATGGTCCTTGTGGTCTCTTACCCATGTTCTATCCCTTCATATCGCTATCTCAGACAGACCTTCTCCCGTGTTGTTAACCCTCTTTTTTTTTTTCCAAACATTTTTCTTTTATACAGGGCAGCTGCTCTTTCCTCTCCAGCCATACCATTCAGCTTGTTAAATAACAGTGAGGACAGAGTGTGTTAGCAGAACAAACTGTTAGTTGCCTTACCTTGCTCATCTCTTTGTGGAAGTTTTCTTCTAGGCCTGCTATACTCTGGAATGTGTTGACGTAGAAACCAACACGACTGCCAAATGAAAATGAAAGAGAGAAAAGCTTAATGGACGCAACGCTCTCCAAAGGCTTTCAGTTATGCCCCTCCTCACACCTTCTGCTCACCATTCCCACATGAATTCAACTCTGTCAGGTCTGGTACATAAAGGAATAGAAGGGCTGCAAGGAAGTGTGGACGGGATGATGGAACAAAAGCCAAGCATGAGGTAAACATGCTCAAGATGAGGAGGAGAACAAGTAGGGTAGAATCTGAACTTGTTCTGACAAATGGGAGAGGCAGATGTGGAGGTGGCTGACCCAAACAATGCTACTGCATTTGAAAATAAGCAGCTAGGGCACTCCTAGGCGGATTTTCCCTGCCTTCCCTGTATGTCAGCTCCTATATTTCATCCTCAGAGCTCCCTGTTGTTTTGTCCGCTTCTTCTCTCACCTTTTTATCAGCACAATCATAAGTATAGCAAAATTCCAAACTCTCAAGTCTTCATCCTCTCTCAGCCAGGCTGTATTTTGTTACATAGATGACAATAGAAGTACAGTTGCAACCACCAGTTCTTCACTGGGTCTTATGTGGAGCACGTTTAAGGGCAGCCCACATCACGATCCCTCCATTAAGGTTTTTTTCACCCAACTGTCCACATCCAGAAGGAGCATCCAAAGAGCAGCAAACCATCTTCTCACCCTCTCTGTTGTTTTAAAACTGCTGCTTCAGTGGGTGCTCCCTAGATCTCCACAGCTGGAGGTAATCCCAGAACAGATTCTCTGAGATGATCCAGAAAGCAAGAGCAGAAACCAGCCCAAGAGAACAACTGAGAACAGTTGTACAGGAAGGTCTGTGGAAAAGCTGAAAGTCTTCACGTCCTTCCAACCAGCTGTTGAGAAAACTTCCAGCACTCACCTATTCCATAGTGAAGGCAGCTCCTCCTGCAGATCAATGTTCATTTCTTCAAACACCTTCTGAGCCTTTACTAACTCTTCTTCAGCCTTAATAACAGAGAAGGGAGAGAGTAAGCTCCAGCACAGACAGGTATTTCGGAGGGCTGGGATAACAGTGACTCTTGACTTTTCTTGGAGAACAAGCAAAATACTGGGATGGGGTAATCCCCATTCCAAACAAATGTCACAGGAACAAGAGTTGTATCACTAGCATGGGCCCGTTCACACTGCCTGGGTTACCCTCAGGGTTTCTTTCAATGGAGATTCCTGTTCGGATACTCGGAAGATAACTGAAACATCCATTAACGTGTTCCAAGTTCTATACATTTCCCTAGTTCCAAAAAATGAATAGACCTGGTCAGGCAGTTCAGCCACTGGTTCAAATGCAGATGAAGCTAGAGTGGACCCTGCCCCTTGCTTGGTCTCCAAAAGAGTTGAAATCCATCCCAATAGGTGTTGATGAATAGTCCTTCCTTGTGAGGACTCTGCTTAAGTAAGGTTATTCCAAAGCACCGCCTCTTCTGAGGAAGGGAAGAGGTCTGCAACCTTGACTGAGATATCTCTCTCACAAATTAGAGCAGAGAAGCAAGGAAGGGTATGTAAAGCATGAGCTGCAGCAGCAGGAGAATAGGCAGGGAATGCTTGAGCAGCAGGTGTTGGTTTCAGCAGCCTAACATACTCATACTGGTAAAGATCTAATACAAGGGCAAATCCTGGCTGGCTGTTGACTACCAACACCAAAGGAAACTTGCCTTGCACAAGACCTCTTAGTCCAAGTAAAAAGTTTAAATTTGATCTGATTTGTTTGACCTCAATGATACTGCATGAACTCCTCTGCATTCCAGAGTCAAAAACGATGATCCTGGCTTCTGTTGATGACAGCAAGCATCAGCAACAAACACGTTCCCCTTCCCATATTTGTCCTGGGTAGCCTCTTCCTCTTTTCAGTGTCCTGGCTTACAACCCTAAGCTTGCTAAGTAAAATGTTTGTATTATCTGATTTGCAACAGCAAAAGGAATAAAGAAAGCTGCTATGACTGCCTACTTCTGTGTGTGACTACAGCAGGAATGTCACAACACGCTCCAAACAGCGTGGGAACTGGATCTCTCTTTGTGCCTCCAGTCAGATTCTCACCCCTTCTATGAAATTGTTTTATCATCTTTGTGTCAGCTTAAATAAAGAAACCCACAGCTTACTGCTCTTTAGTGACAGGTCTACACAAAGATAGGACTGACAGGAGAAAGGACTTAAAAAACATCATGTGGCTCAAAGTCCAGTTTCTCATAGAGCTGCATAGTCTTCAAGCTCTCAATCCCTTGCCTGACTTAGAAGCCAGCCACAGAAGGTCCCACTTTCCATCTAGCTCCACCTTTCAGAGCATCACGCATTACTGCCAAAGGCTCTTTGTAGTCAAGATTGGAACAGATTGTTTCCCCCAGAAAATAACACCACGCGTGGTGTAACGTTAACTGTAAAGTTAAGCAAACCCTCTAAGAAACAGGCATGGGGAGAAGCTATCAGGATGTTTCTATCCAGAATCCCTTGTAATATGCTGCTATACTTGCTGAAAAACAGCACTTTGAGAAAGCTTGCATAAAACAACAACAAAAGAGCCCATTTAAATGGAGACATAGTTTATGCAGGATCAGAAAAGATTATCATAAAGACTTACTCTTCTTTAAACCCCCCTCATGACTGAATGTTTCTAATTCAGTCATTTTAAAGAGAGGGGGAAAAAAAATCTCCCAGTCCATCCTTCGGCTTATCTTAACTCTAGACTAGAATCAGAGCCAACACAGGAGATGGGCTAGCTGGGAGATGAGGCACCACTGTATTCCGTCAGTTTTTTCAGATATGCTGAACATTAACCAGTCTTTCCCCCTCTCATTTACCTGTTCAGAAGGTCAAAGAACCTAGAAAGCAATGTATCAGTAGTGACATACCAAGGTAAAGGCAAAATCAGCAACAGGCAACGTTCACTCCAGAACAGCTGTAGGAATCAGCAACCCCGTGGCTCAGCCAGTGCTCCTTCCCAGACACTGCACTCCCTAGTCAGTTCTGGTTGATTTTTCTTAGATGCAAGGGTCCTGACACCAGATAAGGCAGACAGCTTCTAGTGCATTCACTGATCATAGATCTGCTTCATTTCCTGATCCTTGAGAACAGTTTCCCAGAGATTTTTGCTGACTAACTGCTTGAAGAGTTGGAATTTAGCTTTCCTAAAATTTAGCATCCTATTTTTACTCTCAGTCTGTCTGATATCCCTCACTAGCATGAACTCTCCACCACTGCATGGTCACTACAGCCCTGGCAGTCTCCAATTCTGATGTCAGCAATCAGTTCCCTTGTGTTGGTGAGCCAAAGGTCCAGCATTACATCCTCCCTGGCGGGGCTGTGTATTACCTAGCTCAATAAATTATCCTCAATACATTCCAGGAGCCTCCTGGGTTGCTACTGTGTTACTCTCCTAGCAAACAGATGAGGCTGACTTGTGAGGAAGGAAGGAAAAACATAGGCTTCAGAGGCAGAGCTCATCATTACACATCTGTGCTCTTTTGTTTCAGTTATCACCTTTGTCATCCTGATGGAGAACTGAGGCACAGGACCGAAGGCCCAGGCCCATGAAACATGATCTTAAAAATTCTTCCTCTTCTCTCACTGTCTGAAATTGAAAAGGTTTGAGCAGGAGCTACACAACACAGATGCCTTCCTGACATTACCTCGAGCTACAGCTTTGAGAGTTAAGCACAGCCAGCTCAGCTGTGATAGTGGGATGGCTGTGTTGTGTATCCCATCACCGTGCATCTCATGAGCATCCTGCAATTTCCAGCCTGCTGCTTTTAGCAATCTGGCACCACTTCTCCTAAAACACCACACTGTGGTAGTTATACACTGCTCAGTAAATAGTTCAGACAGCCTCCAAGAGGAAGGAGGCAGGAAGACCATAGGGCATCCACCTCAACCCCATCAGTCTCTGCCAGACTTTCTTCTCCCCAGCAGGGAGCGAGGACCAGGACCCAGCTCAATGGCTCTCCTCCATGGAGAGAAACACTGCTCTGCTATCACTACAACAGCACCCAGAATGGCTTTCCTGGTCTGAAGTCAGCATTTCAGAGTGCTTAGTAAAAAGGCAAGAATTTGCTGTTCTAAGCTATTTTCCTCTTTGTTTCAAAAAGTACTGTCACCAAAATTTGTAACTGCGAGTTTGCAGTAGTAAGCCTCCCAGTAGATTTTTAGAGAAATCCCTCACAGACCTTCTTCTAAAAGCCCCAAAAGCCAGCAATCTGAATGCTGAAAGGAGTTGCTTTTGTGTTGTTTTTTTTTTAATTTAATACTAGAAATAATAAGTATTGCTGCCCCCATTTTTGCTTAAAGGTTGTAAAGTAAGAGGAATTAGAAGAGAAAGCAACATAGCTGCTGGTAAACAGAAGCAATCTTTGCAGGACTTAACACTCTGAGGCTCTTCAATAAATGCAGTGTCATCAGCCCTCATGCTTTTATCATGAGCTTAATGAGATTTAGGGTTGCCATTAACACCTTTAGTCTGAAGAATCAGGTGGATACAAAAACTGAAGCTTTTCTCTTTTTTAAGCTCTCTGCCTGCTAAGCCTGGAAACCTACAGCTTCAGAATACAAACATATCATCCTTCTTGAAATTTGCAGGATACACATAAAAAAATAAAAAAAAAAAAAAAAGAAGCCTCCCATAACTGGAAAGACAAAAATTTAAGGTTAGCAATAGTATTACGTAAGGAATAAAAGAGGAACAACTTAGAGGACTTAAATCGGTTTGAAAATATACAGGGTGACTGAAAATATTAACACTACTTAGCAGATTAAAGCCACTACAATAGAGCCGCTAGAAAGATGACACACATCCCTTCTTACCTGCTTTAGGGCAAAGTCACCCAGCAGATTAAAATTATCAATTAACTACACAGCACACTGAGATCACAGTGAAATGAATGAGGGAGCCCCTGTATATGCTGTTTCTGCTAGTAATCTGTGGGAGGTGGTATTGCTCCCAGTCACACCAGCCAGCTTGAGAAGAGGAAGAACCAATTTATCTGTGGCTTCTAAAATATCCTCTACCACCTTTCTAGTCCTCCAGAAGTACCACCAGCTAAACAGATCAGTCAAGAACCAGAACCAAACAGATTCTTCCCAGCATACCCAAGGCACAGGGAAAGCCTTGGGAAGCCTGCCAAACGTCCTTCTCCCAGCGAGAATGAATACTTATTTCCTCACTTTGCTATGCATCTTAAGCAGGACTGCTCACAGCTGTTCCTTCCCTAGGCATTATTTATGTGGTAACCTAGTATTTTCCTAGATTTTCCATCACAAAGTGACAGAAATGCGCTATAAGGTCAGTTTTCTTATTTCCTGTATTTCCAAACTGCAATTCATTTACCGTGACATGGAAAAAGTACAAGCATTTGAACAAGACCAGGGCCTTGTCAGCAGGTAACTCGTGCTCTCTGTCTGAGTAACGATCTTCTATTCCTTTGCCTATTGATAACATTTTCTTCTCACTGCTTTCGTTCTTGTTCTGAGCTCCAAGATAGATACCAAGGGAAATTTCATCAGGAGGCTGTGCCTCTCCAGAACTACTAGGAAATTTTCAATCTGAAATCTGGACTACTCTTACTTCCCTACTCATTTCCCTCAAGATGCTATAACCTAAACGTTTTCCCAATTTCTGCCACGTAATGCAACCATGACATCCACCTGGAGTTTCCCAGGTATACTGTGAGGGGTACGAATTCCCTGGGCTGAATCCACCTCTTCTATGCAGACTGAACCTCTGAGTTTTTGGAAATGGCTTTTTCAGACCAGCAAAGCCAAGCCAGTGATGATTTTGGATTTTACCATAGGAGAGTACTGCAACCTGAATCAGCTGCCACAGAAATTGTTTTTGAAGCAATGCTTTATTTCCAGCTTTACTCAACAGCAGAAGTTAAGAAGCCAATTTTTCAGTGTTTTCCTCTTTTTTCTTTCTTAAACAGCAACAGTAAAAATCGACTGCTTCATTTAGAAGAAATGAATAACTGGAGGAACTACACTACACCCCCCTCCATCTTGGCATCCTCATCTCATTTTATGGGGGGAAAACAATAGCCTAGTGTTAATGCACTTGGTCAGAAATCAACAGGGCAGGCACAGATTCAGACCAGTCACTGGTTAGCAACTTCTGTGTGCCCACTGCCGTGCAGGAGCATTAAGGACAGGCTTAACACATGGACCAGAGTGAACGTTGCCTAGACATTAGTAGCATAGTACAATCTAGAGCCCAAGACAGCGCATGCAGGATTAGAGCCAGGTAAATCAGCAGTCACCTGATTTCGGAGCAGATTAGTTTGCGCAACGAGGTGAGCTTGTAGCTTCCCTTGACACCACTGAGGCGCAGCTTTCTCAAGCAGCGAAACAGGCTTGGGGATGGGAGCATGTTTGAGTGAAAAGAGAAAAAAACAGAATACAAGAGAGAGACAAACATATATTTTGTTTCGGGGATTAAAAAAAATTATAATCACAGAGACTGTATTGAGAGGCTGGGTCAAACCAGTATCACCAAGGCAATAGGAATAAAACAAACATCCTGGGATTGATCAGTTATGAATCCTTTGAAGCATGCCAAGTTTAGCAGTAATTAATGCTCCAGTGTGGGCTGGGATACTGTAGACTAGCCGGGCAGCTGCAAAGAGCAACAGGTAACTGTTGTTAGTGGCCTAGCACACAGACAACTCTACTCCAAGCCATAGCTGTGAAGTTGGAGCTCCTTGAAGAGAGGTCAGGATTAATTAATCGTGTCATTTATTTACTTGCAACAGTTGAAAGTCCACAGCAGTTTATTTTAATGGCATGTTGTGAGTTTAGCAATAAGTGGCAGGAGTCCTGGCTGGGAAAAGAACATCGTGTATTAAAGAACAAGAAGAGACTGCATATCTCCAAAAGGCATTCCCAAGGCTGCTCGTGTTACTATAATACCATGAAACATCACACAACTAAGTTTGCATTCGTATGCTGTGTCATAAACAAAATTTATCTTCCCTCTGGGCCCATCATCACATTTCAAAGTACCTTACACTGAAACATCCCTACTTCACAGGTCACAAAACTGCAGTCACAGGTATGAAGAGGTGAACTCCCTACAATCACAGTGCACAATTTGTCCTGGCAGGCTCAGCAGAGTTGAGCAGGTGGCAGCAGCTGTGGGATCAAGAAGTTGGGCTGCCTCTTTGGGAAGAGCACAAGCACATAGCTTTGGGGTACTTTCAGTGTTCCTGTCTTTACAGGATCAGGCTACAGTGATGCATCACAGATGATACACTGTCTGGACTTAAGGCCTACAGCACAGGAGGGAGAAAGATGTGATCAGACACTCATTTTCACTCACAAGAAGTCTAGTAAAGTACTAAGAGGCACTTGCATGGGCTGAATCAGGAACAGAGCACCATCTCCTAAACTGCAACACTTCACTCTTCAACCTGTACAACTTTTTCCATATGTTAACTAAAGAGCAACAAACCATCCCTCAATAAAAACATATTTTTTGCAAGCAGTTGTGGCAGCATGAGAGAGTGCAGCAATGACAAAGGTCAGTGCAGACCACCAGCTACCAATCAGAGTAAATGAATTCCTACCACACTGCCACTGCAGCAAAGATCCCAGAGGCACATACCAAAAACAATACCACGCCCCATGGAAATACCTCTCTTACCCCTGAACACACTGCAGTATGGCTTTCAACAGACAATGTGACTGGCTGGGCCTCATGCCTTGCATACATAACCATGAATCACTTTGCCACACAAATGATGCAATGACACCTGAGCCATCAATCATTCTCCTCTTTGTTTGTCAGGATTAATCACAGTGCATGTGCTAGGAGAGCAGGTGACTGATGACTGGCAGCATAAAAATAAAATACTGTCAGACATTAAACACAAATCTTTAGCCTGGGGAGAGAAGCATCTTTATTCTTTCCATGTTATAGATATACTATTGCCTCTCACATAGCCCTAATCTTTCCTACCTGAACTGCAAAGCAAAGGGTGCCAACACTTCTCAGCCTGGTTAAAAATACAGGTTAGAGTCAAAGGACTTCAGAAATGCCACCAACCTCAAGAAACACTCAAACTCTTATAGTCACTCTTGCTTTAATATGGGGAGACAGAGCCCTAAGAAGCAAACAAGCTGGCAAATTTTACTGTGGTATTACAAGGCTTTGTTTCCCCCAGAGGGGCACATTCCAATAGAGGATACTGGTTCTGCAACACCTGAGAAAACACGTCAGGGCCTTGCGGTGATGCTGACAAATGCCCAACTGATGATGGTGGGTGTGATCTGAGACACCAGAACGCATCCTGCCTTCTAGGAGAATTGAACAGGTGAGAAGGAAACACCTAACCAAACCTCACCACAACACCCCTCTGAACAAAGAATACCCAGTGAAGTGGTACATGCTTGCTTTACACCTGCTCATTAAGCAAAAAGCAGACTTCCCAAATGAAAGGACAGTTGCACATCCTTCTGTTTGCTTTACCTTCGCAATTTTGGTTTCATCCTTCTTCTTTGCAGTTTGCAGGGCTTCAAAGTGGTGTCTGGCACTGTCATAATCCACAAGCTTCCTTCCTCGCTTTGCTATGCGAGACTACAAAAGAAGGAGAAAAAGAGTTATGACAACCCAGCAGCCAAAACCACAGTCTTAGGATCCCCCTCTCATCCCCTCAGCTTTCCCTGCTTGTACCTGTTCACCCAGCTTCATGCTCTGCCTGCACGAGGACTTCCACTGGATATCCTACAAAAGCTGCCCTGGAGCCATGTATGGCAACAACCACCCTGGAGGGAGCTGCTCAGGAACATCCAGCCAGGGAAGACAAACAGATCTATACAACAACAGCCCCACCTCTGAATGACATTAATGTTTTCAGAGCTGTAGTTCAGGTGCTGCTTAAGTGCTACCAGATGCCTGCAACCTGCAGGTACCTGTCTCTTCATTTTCAGGGCCAAGAGGGCTGCTGCCACTCACTCTCTAACTAACCAGTCCACAGCCCCAGCTCATGCAGAAGCTCAAAAGATGGTTCAACACAAGAAGGCATCTCTGCTGCCAGCACAGCAAAAGCATTCTTCCACATGCTCAGGATATGCCTACGACAGCATTTCAGACCCTGCGACAGGAGATCCAGACAGAAGCATGGATCAGCTGATGTGACCACAGTCATGACCAGTGGTCCACTGTAACTAGCTATTGAGCAAGAGAAGTGCCAAGGGACTCAGGCCCATTAGGCTGCTCTGCTATAAACCATCCATCGCCCTTTCCCCCTGTGCTCCCCTACAAACAACCCAGATGATATAAGTCAGAGCACAGGGCTTCCCAGCCCAGTTGTAGCACTGAGAGCCAAATGCCCTGTCAGTGATCAGCAAGCTGAAGACTAACTGAAGAGCTTGAATGAAGAGGACACAAAGGAGCCAGGAAGGTTTCAAATTAATCATACAACTCGGGGAAATTGAAATTGCAAGATGAAGAATCAGCATCAAGGATTTACTTGCAAAGCAAAATCTTCACCACAGCCCTTGGCAGGGAGATGTGGTCTCTTCTCCCCAAACTCCTGCAGATAAACTGCAAAACCACACTCAGGGTTGATCTCTTTGCCAGACCAGCTGGGACCAGTTTGCACGTCTCCCACACATGCTCCTCTAAGCTTTCAGTGAACACTGCTGCAGCACTGCGTGAGTCACAGAAATCTGCAGGATCTCAGCCACACGCAAACCCAGACAATGTCAAAGCACTCAGCTTGCTCCAAGAATGGAATCACGAAGAAGCTGATCCAGTCCTCAGCCACAGCCAGCAAAAGACACCTTCCCATGGTGGCAGCCTGCACTCCTCTTGAGAAATATTGCCAGCTGGGCACCGAGATGGGCTGTAGGAGGGGGCTTCCAGCACTGATGTCTCTAAGATGCAAGTTAATGCATCTTCCACACGGTCCAGATTAAACACACGACCAAGTGGGAGATCTATGGGAATGAATGCCTTCCTTTGGTCAGAATGGCATACATGGAAGTGCTGCAAGGAATCAGTATCCAGCAAGTCCTTCTGGAGTACTCACTGATTGTGCAACTGCCTGTGATGGCAGTAACAGGACTTAGCCCAGTTCTGGATGCCTGCAAGGTTTTCTGTATGACTATAGGACAGCTGTAGCTACTCACTACCAACGACAGAAGCTGAACTTCAACTGATGTTTTTATTTCTTACAATATATCCATCTTAATTTGAACCTCAATTTTAAAAAAATTTTTTCTTGCTGATATTTGTTTTCAAACCTGGTAGAAACAGTGCACCAGTTTTAGTGTAAGACAGACATTTTCCAACCCCACAGCTAGTCAGAAAACAGGTTACGGTTCATATTCTCTGGGCTCGCTGCAGAGACCTGCACTGTCATTACGTGTTCCACAATCACAGTCAAAAACTCACTCAGAAACACTAAATAACAGACTATACAAAAGTCCTACTTCAGAAAGCTAGAGATATTGACCTGCACAGAAAGGATCCTGAATTTTTTTGCTCCCATTCTTCAAGTTACAAAAGGCAGAGACTGTTTTGTTTCCCCCCAGCAAGCATTAAAAATGTTTTCCTTACTAAAGGAATAGTATGTTTTCACATTTCTGCTGTAGATCCTGTAGGAAACCTAAAAAATTCAAGGGAATTTTTCCAGCCCCATCAGAACAGCAGAAGATTCAGAACACGTTAGAATTTAACAAACAAGTAACACATGCATGATCTAGCAACACACATTTGTTACTGGGCCATTAACAAAAAACAGGCCTTCACTTAACTAAATTAAAATCATTTTCACTCCATCTTTCTTCATCACGCTAACACCAGAATTCCAGGAAAAGCAAAAGAAAAAAAAAAAAAGCTTTTTGTGTCAAACAAAACAAAACTATTACCACAGCAACTGAAGTATTTCATTAATTATACATGACTACTTTTTCTTTCCTGCATGCCACCCTTAAGAACTTTAACTTCTGATATTCTAGAGCATCACCTGAAGATTGTGATATCAGTAAGAGTTATCTCTTGACCAATTCCAAAGTCAGAAAGGATCAGTGAGTGTTCATTGGCTCATCCCTTGAGTTTTGGTGGAATTTGGGTGGTCCAAGTTTCACAATCCTTTTAAAATCACACTGTACAACCTCAGGATTATGAAATCCCAAAGATGCTAAGCATGGAAGAAACATGACACTGCTGCTATTAACCAGTGCACAGTCACTAGGGCTGATAAAATGCAATTTAGTCAGAAGCAGGGCAGAAGTCTGAACCTACAGAGAGCCCACTAAAGAAGCAGCAGCACACAGGTCTCTGCACTGCTAAGATACATATGGGAATCACACTACAGGGTATGATCAGCACTACAGCCTTTAGCAGCTGGAAAGCAATAGCCCTTCCCCACCTCACATTTCCAGGAACAGAAGAGGTTGGAAAAATGAAACAAAAACAAGGAGCCCCAGGAGGCAATGACATTGCTGTCAAGGGCTCATTTTACAAGCCTATGTCCTGCCTCCCTTCGATACAGCACGATCCTCCTGAAGCAACAAATACTGACAAACTCTTTAAGAACCATGCGGTGGGAAAAGGGTTGTTTTCATTGGAAAGAAGCCAAGCTGATACTTCCATGTGGTGATATCATTACTAGTGCTTCCATATGGTGAAGACATTTCCTGCATAACCTTCCCAAAACAAATGGAGAGATGACTACAGGGGAAGGGGAATTTACAGGACACCATTCAAACCTAGGTTGATCTCCCACCAAAAGACCTATATTCAGCACTCCTCCTTCCCTGCAAAGAGCTGATTATATGCACAGCAGGACTTCAGGGAACACAAAGAAATCTGTCCTTCACACTGGCCTCTATCTATAAAGTATATTTGCCACCAACTGTTTCCTCAATGTTTCGTACTTACAGGGAAATTAAAAAATAACAAAGGACTGAAAAAACTGAGAGCTTGTTGAGCTGCTCCTGACACCACTCTCTTACACTGTGATACAATCATAATTTTTTTTACAAGTTCTCATTATATATTTAAGGGTTTTTTTTTCAGCATCTTTCCCCTGGATTCTTCATTCAAGCCTAATGGAGAAAATAGTACTTTCATACGACCCAGAGCTGCAAAGACTTTGGCTGCTCTAATAGGAACTTTTGCAACAGCACACATGCCTTTTTAAAAAACATGGGGATGCAAAGAACTAATGAGATTTCATCTGCAATGACTCTAGATCAAAGACTTAAAGAGAATCTTACTTTGATATCTGGGAATTGGCCAAGGTATGTATCCATGGTCAGAAGAGCCTGATCCACCAGTTTCTGATGGAAATCTGTCCAGAGGAGATCATTGTTCTGAAAAACAAAAGCAATGAGTTAACTATTCAGAGCACAGAGCTTTGCATTCTGCAAGTGCTACAGTTAGTAATTTCAGACCCCAGAGCTCTTAAGAAACAGTCATTTCTTTGGAAGAACAAAGAAGCAGAAAAGATGAAAAGTGAGGTCATGGCAGAAATGTAGGAACAGAAAAGGCAGCTTGATGCTGCTAATTCAGGGATCCACTTGGAAGATACAGCATCCTTCAGAAACCTTCCTTTTAGGGTTTGCCTTTTCCCCAGCAGTGCTAGCCCAAATCTAGCCCAAATCCATATATATAGCAGAAGGGAAGATGAAGGTCAGGGCTCCGTTCATATCCTCCTCCCAGGTCACTTTCCTCCAGCAGCAACAAAACTGGGACACCTGACACCACTGCACTGTTTTCTCCTTCACTGTATTGCGGCTCTGGAATATAATAAACAGCAGAATGCTATCACAGCGCTCTTCAGCCCTCACCACCTGCCTCCACAGCCTCCTGGAGGTTCTTTTCAAAGCTAGCTCTCTAAGCCACACACACATTATCCTTTATTTTTCTTAGCCAAGCTAATTTCCCATCAACAACCAGGATTAAGTGGAAATTACTTCTACTTCCTGTTTTTCCATTTGGCCAAATGGTTTTGGCAAAACTGCTCAGAAAAAATGCCCATGTTATGGAGAAATTTTTGGGTGTTATTTTTCTGGTCAGGAATAGTACTTTTCTTCCAGTTCTCTTTTCCCGAAGGAGAGAAGCCAAGACAGACATTAAATGGGAAGATGGAGGCTGAAAATATTACTGCCTACTCTCAGAGGAGTTGCAGTTAGGTCTCAGGATTCTTGCTCCCTTTAGCCCCTCTGGCTCGAGTTTTCAGAAAGGACAGTCCTCTAGGAGGCACCATGGTAGCTCAAGAAGAAACAAGGCCAATACAGAATGTGAAGCCAAACCAGCTAAATTACATCCCCATTTACTGCAATAACACCTCATAATATAAAGTTTCTGTATTAATGAAAGAATTGACCTGGAAACATCCTGGTTTTGCTTAATTCTATCTGCTTTAAAGACAGTATTTCCTGGGTAAGATGGAAATATTATTTCAAGAGAGAATTCTGCAGGGAAAATACAGGGAAGGGAACAGTCTTTGTCTTGCTTTCCTCCTTGTGCCTTCCTTGCTGCCACAAACAGCTGCAGCCTCATGGCAGAGCTGAACTGCCACAGCTGCTATTCAGTTGAACAGCTGAACAAGACAGCAGAGGATGTCTGTCTCCAGCTGGACCACTGCATGTAAATGCCAAGGAAGATCCAAGCTGTCAAATGATGCGTTGTCCCCCACACTCCAGAGAAAACACCTGGGCAAATTTGGACAGGCATCACCTCACTGAACGATGAGGAGAAGAGCAGGCTGCGGTGACACATGGCCCAGTCAAACAAAGTGGCAAGTAAAATACAGTAGCTGGTGGTAGTGCTATGAGTGGGAGGTTGATCGCAGCTACACAACAGCTGCTCTGATCATGCTTTGGGAATCGATTTATATTCCCATTCCTCTTGCAGAGAGAATGAAAAACATACCCAGTTACTTAATTACAGGTTCTCTTTTGGCTTATTCTGCCCCTTTTTAGTCATTGCTGAGAGAACAAAGTTGTTTGTATGCATAAGTACAGAGCTCTTCATAGTGTTCAGGAGTCTGGGAAACAAATACAGGCCACATCCCCTCAGCCATCCCTTCTTCCCAACACCTTGTCTCTTTGATTCCTACTGCAAAGATGCACATCTGAAGGAATTCAGTTCACTAATGCAGTTTCCAAAGCTTATCTCCTTTCCTTATCTCCAAGCCTAGTGAGTCTACATCCTCCGTTGAGTCTTACCTCTGCTATTTTATTTGTGTCATCTCTCCCAGGCCAGTCCGGCTCATAAACTTCCTGCAAACACTCCGTCAGCTTCTTGGAGGCTTCATGCATAGCTAGGAAAGAAGAGATAACTGCCTCAGAAACAAGGAAACAGTTAATCCCTTATCCCTTAACGAAATTCAATGCAAGAAGCTTTGAATAAGCTTCAACAAACGCTAAGATGGGACTTGCTGAATGTCTGCCCCTTAATAACACAAAAATGGAAGTAATCACAGGAAAAAAAGGAACTAAGAATGCAGTCACATTTACTATTGTGTTCATTTTCCCGAGGCAGAAGATATGAGAATCTATCTGCTAAGAGAGCATCACCAGCTCAGTATTAAAGCACAACCCCATCCTGTCTGAGAAACTCTTGAAGCGACCCCCAACCAGACAAGGATGACTTCTTCTGCATTTGTCTGTACAGTTCAAGTCCTCACTCAGGACCATGAAAACACTATCATGCATTTCAGTAACTACACACACTGTGAGCACCCACACAGCACTGCCTCCAGAGCACCATTTCAGAGCTGGGTAGACCTAACTACCATTTGCAAGCCATTGGTTTTGGGAAACACTATGTTCAGACCAAGCATTAGGAAAAATGTCTTTACCATGAGGGCAGTCAAACACCTAAACAGGCTTCTTTAGAGGGAGAAGGTTGATGACTCCTGCCTGCCAGTGTTCAATAGGCAATGCTGTTCTTAATATGCTTTAACTTTTGGTTAGCTCTGGAAAGGTCAGGACTGATTGGCCTTTGAAGGTCTCTTCCAAATGAATGCTCTTTCTATTCTAAAACCCATGCCTGAGGATAGGAAACACCTCTGCATATGCTGATCTTACCTTTTACAGAAGACAAGTAAGTTCGGAGATCCTTCTGCAGCCTCGTGCCTTCAGACTGTGAATAGCAGGAGAAGACCATCAGTTATTTTCCCATTTAAAGAGTAGGAGGGAGGAATCAAGCATTTCTAAGGAAAGAAAATTCACCCTGCAGATGAGCCAAACATCAGCCCTGAACCAGCCTGAACAAACATTAACAAGACAACCACACAATCCTCTGATCTTCTTGGTAGGTCCACAACTGGTAACTTGCATGCATGTTTGGCCAACAATGCCACCAGACTATTGATGAACTTTGTGTCAGTGAAGCTGTGAACTGCTTTTGAAGCTTTAATGTTTCAATACAATAGTCCAAAAGACAATAGTTAGTTTGTAAGAAAAAGGTTAGTAGTTCTGTGCAACAAATCTGACTGAAAGGAGTCTGCAGGTTATAGGAGACACATTTGTCTGGTACTTCTTTGGGAGAAGTTTAGTTCACCACTTTCCTGTAACACTCTAATTAAAAACCCCTGTGCAAAGAGAGCACAAGGGGTCTCTGACCTGACCAAATATCCTACTTAAACTGCAGGGCTTGCAAATAAAGAAATAATTTTCTTCTTCAGCTTTACTGTCTTAATGGCCTGCCAACAGCAGACCTTGCATACTAGGAAACGAAAGATTAAAACCAGACACTAGTCTGAGTTTTGCTTGCTTGAGCTTTTAGACAACACAGATAAGTGCTGCAGAAGAACTCAGATTAGAAAGAACTTTTTACAGCAAAGTTAAGCAGACATGCATACACGTACGCCTTCCTCAATACAATCACTCTTCCATTTTGAGCACAGTCAGATCCATGTCCCCATGACCATTCCTCATTTTCCTTCCCAGTCTGTACCTTGAGGGGGCCTCCAGTACAACGAATATTGACAGCTGAAGACAACTCCAGAGATGAAGAGCTCACAGAACTTCTCTGACAGCTGCCTCAGAGCTAATAACTTCACAAGCAGATGTTTCCTATCAACTCTCCCTACAACAGAGCCACCTCTTCACTAACTGAGTTCCTGCCCAGATCCTTTGTGCTTTTGGTGCAGCTGTGCTTTCTAAGCAGAAGCTAAATCTGTCCAGCTGTTGAAATGGTATTGCTAGTATAGCATTGTGAAGAAAACCATCTGCTTCCAAACAATGTTTCTGATTTGATTTCCTTGCCTCAAAAGTTCTGGATGAATTCACATTTATTATTTTTCTACTTTGCCATCAGCAAAGAAAATGAGGGACAGCAAAAAGCTGTCTACCTTCATAAAAGACAGTTGGACCTTAGTTGGCAAGAAAAGCATAGGGAAGTGACCCAAAGAGCATACAAGAATAAAGGAAGAGCAGCCATAACAGCTGCTAAAGTCCTAAGGGTGTCTTACCTATAGAGCAAGTAAACAGAGCTCTTTGCTAACTTAAGGTAAATGTGCAAAGCTGGGCAGATGAAACCTTGTAGTGGTGCAATTAGAAAGTGTCAGAGGGGAGATGGCACAGTAATCAAAGACCACACAGAGAGGACCACCAGTAGCTCCATCAATTATGCCCACGGCAAGAAAGCAGCACTAGAATTCATGGACTAGAATTAGCAAATGTCAGTTCAGAAGGGGAAATGGTACAAAAGAAATGAGTATATAAATTCTCTCAGTTCTATATATTTTTATAATGCAGCTGTATCATTTTTAAGAGTCACTAAATTTGAACACAGTTTTGAGGTTTTAAAAAGCTCTAAGGTAGGGAAGGTCATCAGTGAAGGTACTGAAGAACACAAGGTTTAAGTGCTTGCAGAGGGAAGTTACAGAGGTATAGGAAAGAAACACCATTGCATAGTCATTTTAAAATGTAGAATATAAAGATATTAGAAATAAATAGTATACATATTTCACAATAAAAAAATCCACAAAAGGAAAGAAAAACTAGGACCAAAATGGAAGGTCAGTGCCAATTCTAGCTGACCAATATATTAATTTCTCATCCTTTCACTGATGTCATAAAATCTTAGCACCAGAATAACAGCACTGACTTTCGATGTGGAAGTGAGCACAGTGAGTTATTCTAATCAAACACAAAAGAAATGTGCACTGTGAAAAGCCTGATGTGCTGCAACACATAGGTGTAGCCATGTGTGATCAGATACTGCCATGCTAGCAACCAGTGTAATTCAATCCTGTAAGCCTATAACACAACCAGGTAAAATACAAGGGCAGTATATGCAGGAAGATGCTTATTTTAAAAAAGAAATGCTATGCTGAGAAGACTGGAGGGTTCTCTCTTCAAAGACCTAATGAATCACCTATTTCTTATAACTGTGAGAAAAACCACAACAGCATTTCTAGGAGTTCTTCACAATTTTTTGTTTTATTGAAGGAGTGTGTGTGTGTGTGTGTGTGTGTGTGTGTGTGCTTTCATTCACCATACCTTTCACTCAGCACTACTTAAGGATGCAATTTTCAGTAGAGCTGTTTCTTAGTAGTAGTCAGCTTTCCTAAAACATTTCCCCTCCAGCTTCAAAAGAAAAAATGTCATAATTCTCTTCCTAGGATTGAGTTGGGGACATTTCTGTATGTTTTTCCAATGTGTCTTTAGATAGATAGATAGATAGATAGCCACAGCCCTTATCACAGGGCTGAAGAAGAGAGCATCCCAGGTTTTCCAGCTCTGAGTCTAAACTTGACAACTGCACAGGAATTAGCAATTGTGAGCACTGTACCAGACATCTTGTAACCATGGAATACAGTACTGCCATTCTCTGCAACAAGCCTTGCACTCCATTTGCAAGGCCTCAGAAGAGAGGCATCAATCCTGATCTGTCCAAACTTTTCTCCACCAGCCAGTAGCTTAGCAGTAACAGCAACTTCCCTAATTGAGTTGGTAGCTAGTGCTACTTTGTGTTCCTTCTAGTTACTTTTGTTGGTACAGCATCATTGGGTTTTGTTTAGTTTTTGTTTTACAAACATGGGAATAACAAGCAGTTATTTTATGTAGAATGGGTTATGAGTCTCATAATGAGATTCATGAGAGGAATACAAGTCTCATAGGATAGCAGAGGACTTGAGAAATAGAGACATGGAACGTAGCTTAAAAACACATTGGAAAAAATACAAAAACGACCCCAGCTGGATCCTAGAAAGAGAATGATGACATCATCGAGATGAGCATCATACTGCTGGCAGTGCTGGATGTTGGCAACTCACCCTAAGACCCCACTACTGCCAGAACAAACACTGACCTCAGGACACAGAGGAGCAGTGAGAAGGAAAGCACAATGCCAGGAAGTGGTGTGTATGTAACAGTTGTAACTGCATTCTTATTCTTTCCTTTTCAGTAACAGTTAGACATGGACTAAATAACAATTTCAATTTTATAAACAGTACTTCTTGGGTTTACCTACGTGTATGGCACCCTCTCTGCCCATAAACTCACAGCCAAACTCACAGCACAAGAGCAAAAATTAAACCTGCAACCCCACAGGGACACTCAGTGCTGCACAGCCTGCCCTGCTGAGGCTGAGCCAGGCAGAGATATGGATGCACAGCACACCAGCAGCAGCTTGTCTCTCAGGCAATTGGTGTGAAATGCTGAATTTCCACAGGACTGGCAACTCCTGAACGGTATCAAAACTCAGCAGCTCTGCCAGACAGAAACATGAGACAGTGCCAGGTGTAAGGGCTGCCACCAGCCTCCTGCTCGCTCACTCCTGAGAGTATTTCAGATGCAGGCAAAGACAAGCCAATTCTTGGCACGTCTCAATCATTGCACTTTTGCCTCAGGTGTCTTGCTGCCAGGTCCCCAAGGACCATTCTATGTGTGCTGCTGCCTGGGAACAGGTGATGTTGGGACAGAGAAGGCCTTACAACGAACAAGCTGGGAGGTTTATTGCCAAAGAGAATCCATTGTGAGGGCCAATTGTAGGCCCCGAAGCCCAGAAGCACGGCTATGTTCAGCTCATTTGTCACGTAGCAATCCAATGTGCCCAAGCTAAAAAGCTCTCGCTACTCAGAGCTCAGAGTGATATCTCTTACCAACTTGAATGGAGAATGATCTGGAAAATGCAGTGCCTTCCCTTCTCTCCATTCATCCACAATCTGGAAGGACTATAAGATGCCTTATAAAATGAGTAAACTATTTTCAGACCTGCTCACCATTCACTGACTGTCACCACCAGAGAATGCATGCCAGCATGACCCGGCACAGTCTTTAGAATCAGAGGAGCCTCTAACCAATTGAGCAAACAAGGCTACTGGCCATAAGGCTATTTTTCAAAGTCCCTTCCTGTTTTAAAAACTTTCTGGTTGCAACCCAGCGAGTTCCACAGAACAGCTATTCTGTTACAGTCTGCAGTGAAAGATCATCTTTCCTCCAGACTTAATGCTTCCGACTAGAGCACATTCTGTATGGAAAGGACACTGAGATCTCACGCACAGCCATACCACACCACATGCATGTAGTATATACATTCAAAACAAAAGTAAGGTTGTATATACACACATACAGTTCAAGGATTTTTCCCCTTTCTTATCAGCATAACACCTCTTCAATCTCAGATGATAATTTAGATAACTCACTATTATGATCTGCACTGTGAAATAGGTATTGCTTGCATTTATTTTACCAACAGGAAAACCACATGTCAAAACAAAACCAACAGACAACATGCAGAAAATGCCCAGCAGCCTCCAGATCCTCCAATAAATTGTTTGGACTGTCCTTGCAAAACGGGAAAACAAACTGAGCTGTAAGGAGTGTAGAGGCAGTAGATCTTCGTTACGCTTCTCAATGCACCATTGGACTGATGGCTTTGGAAACTGAAAATCCATACTAAACAGATTTGAATCTAAGTTTTTCAGTTTTCCTTAAAAAGTAGATTCCCTAATTGCTGACAGTCTCAATAATGATAGGGAACAGTCACATCTGGTAATGTTATGTCCCCAGAAAGTAGCCAAATCGTATTCCTCTGTGTACTAGAGAATTCCAAGGGTAGACATGCTGCAGAGATATTACATGTAATTCTGAAGTAACAGCAACTATCTCTGCCAAGAAAATGATCATAAGTCTCCAGGAATCTGTAGTGAGCCCTGGTTAAATAGAAGTCCAAGTCAGACTGAAAGATTTTCATTATATTCAGCTGTGGATAATCCCATCTCAGACAATTTTGGGACACAGATCCACATCTGCTGAGTCTAAACAGATACAATGCAGCTGCCACTAACAGCTCCAGAAAAAAGCCCCAACTATGCCAGGGCACAAAGGGTTTAAAGACCTTCTCCAACACCACCTGCAGTTTGGGGTGGCACACACTTCCTGCTGTGAGCCAAGAGCAGCACTTTTCCTAGCATCAAGCCCATCAAGTTACAGTCAGCCCTGTAAACTCCCTGGGGCAATTGATGTAACCTTCCCTCATCTGGGTGCCTGAACATTACAGATACAACACACACCCAGGTCAAGAAGTAATCCTACTCCTGTCCATGGCAGGAGGGATTGCTACACTACTGAAATATTTATGTGCTAGAATGTAAGTCAGAAGCAGAAACATAAAAGACTGAGAATTCAAGCTTGACTCAATTGTGATTGAGCAAAGATGGAGAGAAAGTTGCATATAGATCTTATCCATGGAAGGACATTTCTTTTTCTCCATTTGCTCTGTTCATCTCACTTCCACCATCTGTTGCACTTCAGGAACTTAATTTACTCTTGTTCCATTTTGTTTTTTCAATTGTGTTTCCCCTCCTACCCATCTTTCAGAAAAAAATAATGTTTCTCCCTTACCTCTGCGTCCAGCCCAGCAAACCAATTACACTGTGAAGTAGCTGTTAACTGAAGGAATTGTTCTGGCTGAAGTATTTTTTTTCCCCTAAACTTTGGTCCAAAATATGCATTACTTTTCAGCATATACTCACTCCACGATAGGGGATTTGGAAGAGAGTGTGATTTCTCATGAGTGGACCATTAAGAATTGTGGGTCACTTCAATATGACTATGGCATCATTTAATGTAACATGCTCTAAATGCCTATTGCAGCAGATAATTAAAAACTAACGCTGAAATCCAGGGTGAAATTACATATCTCTAATTATTTTACCAGCTGCTTGTTGAAGTTCTGCACACACTGTTCAAACTGCTCATCTTTTGTTTCGTCTGCTTTCCCAAGCTTCTGAAGGACCTGTAGAAAGAGAGGGAAAAGATTAGAGACTTAGAACACAGAACACAGATAGAACAAAGCAGACAAACAGAAGCCACTGCAAGTTCTTGCTCATGAAGCTTTAAAGAAGGAAGGTTAAAAAAGTCTTCCTTATTCTTGTACTTAGAAGTTCTGCAGTATTTCTTCAAATAGTCACAGTTTGAAAAAGGATTTATAGATGACTCAGGATGAACTCTGACCTCTAATACTTTCCTCTACAGAAGACATGACTGAGGTTTGCTCTTCATGGGTCTAATGCACCTCCTGGACCAACATGAGACAAACCACATCCCTAACATGCCTTCATTTCTGTGGTTTTGCTCTTTTTGGTTTAACACGAGACTGGTCTAGACAGGGTGGGTTTTTGCTCTTGGAACAGCTGGACTGTGCTGCCCTAAAACACAGAAAGCTATGTAGAGATGTCCTAGGAAAAAGACAATGGATGGAGTAGTGAAAGTGTCATATTCTTCCCTCCTTTTCTCACAGTGCACATGCTTGCCAGGAGCTGGCTGTTGAGAACATTTGAGGCCATGACACCATGAGCCTATGTGACACTATCACATTTGAGAGTGTCAGTAGCCAGCCCTTTTCCTCTCACCACAGCGCATCTCCACACAGCCTGCAAAAAACTCCTTATCAGAGTACTTCCCTTATCACATTTCACTTCTAATGAACTCTGTGCAGTTAAGTGGGTCACACTGGTGCCACGAACAAAGCACTTCACTTTCTGGGCAGGTCCCAGGCAAACTGCAGCTGTAGAGGAGGGCAGCAGTATTTACTGTGCCTTAAGTAACTCCAGCAGCAGGGAGACAAGGATACAAACTACAGCTGGTTAAGCTTGATTACAACATCATCGTTAATCAAAAATAAAGCCTTGTCTTGTAGTGCCAATAAAAAACACAGAAAAGTCTACTCAGTCCTCAATCACATGAGATTCCGTAGAGCAAGAGGTGTGCAATAAAGAGGGAATGTTGAGGGAATGCTTGGACAAGAAAGGGAGTGCTGGCTGCTAAGAGCGTGACTTCCAGAAAGGCAAAAATCACTGGAAAGCAGAAGTATCCTGCTCTGCTGAACACAACCAACCTTTATCCATAGATCTCAACCATTATGTTCAGAGGACTGAAGCAAGAACCTGCTTCAGCTTTTCTGTCATCAGTCCCTTCAGGGAGGCCATCTGAATCAGCTTCCTCCAACCCCTTACACTACACATGGATCTTTTCAGAGAACGTAAAGAGGATTATGCTCCTGCAGGGCAAGGATTAGACTTCTATTTTCAGTTCCCAAAATGGCACTGTGAAGGTCCACGCAACAGGATGCAACATTCACCTACTGGCCCGCTCTCATCTTACTGCACAGGCAGGGAGGAAGGCATTTGTGTTAAGTCTGTGAGGCTAATCTCAATTCCCCACTCCTACATAAACACACATATTCCCCAGCTTAGCCATGACTGCAGTAACTGACTCTAGAGCTGGGCACGGGTAATTAGTACAGTCATTCAGCTTATAAATCCCTTTATTTAGTCTGGGATTGAATGTCCAGGAAGGAATCACTGTTTTCCATTTTTTTCCTGCTCAGCAGCCCCTCCTCAGCTCCAGGATTATTTGAGATATTCATGTGTAACCAAAGGTGAGAGGGAGATAATATGGTCATAATATATATGACCACAGCTTGTGACTGAAAACCTTCTGAGTTAACTCAGGTGACAGCAGCAAGCATTGCAGCTATAAATGCTTAATGGGCTTCTAAGCTGTCTACATAGCAAGATGCAGACAGCACGATTATTTTCACCTTCCTCCAAACCCTTGGTACACAGAAGTTTGCTGGAGACCAGAAGAAAAGCTGTATTGTTTGGACAGGCAGAGTCCTGTACATCAGCTACTGGTACCTCCTTTGCTCACCTGCATCAGTGAAGGTGGGTATATGCCATGGGAACGCTGCTCCTGCTCAGGCTACATGCTTCTTTGCCATTCTAACAACTAGGAGAAGGATTCAATATGGATTCGCATTCCAGAAGCAGTATGATGAACCTCTTCTAAGAACGCTGCTCAAAGGCTTCAAGCTCAGCTGTACTTCCTTATGCTACCAGATCTATTAGGGCAAGGATTGCCCAACAAATGTGTGACTTTCTAATTTCTAATACATGAAAAGCACCATCACACCAGAAGCGCCATCAGCAATGTTAAGTGCCTAGCAAAAACATAAGCTGCAAAGCCTGAGGAATGAAGTTTCTAATGAGAAGATCAAGAAAATTGCTGTGAATATAAAGCAGCTTTGTATGAGGCAATACATCTGTCTGGCTAATCAGCAGACAAGATGCTTTCAGGCCTGGAGGGAAGGAGACTTTAACTTGAAGGAATCTGGAATATGTCACTGAGGGTCAAAGGTTTAGAACAGCCTCAGTGCACCCATACCCACAGACTATTCTTTGAGATGGCCTGCCTTCCCGCTTCCCATACATGTAAGGAGCTCATCTGCTGCCAGGGGGACAAGCACATCAGTCTGGGATCATCCAACCAGCTGGGAAGATCAGGCTCTACACAGGTCCTACAAAACAACCAGGATTAAAAGGGGCCCAGCTCTCAATTTTCCTCCATTGCTACACAGAAGCTTGCACCTCATATCTGCAGGCCCTGTACAAAAGTCTCAGCTATGCAGTCTTCTGGTCCTTTTATTACACGCTGTGGCACAACCCACACAGATGTCAAATCCAAATGCAATTTGAGCATTATAAAATGATGGCTCCACAAGGCTGGCCCGCAAACCTACTCCCAGCTCTTCCAAGAGAGTAGAGCAGGCAAACTATAACAACAGATTCCCCCAGAGCCCCTACATCAAGCAGATGGTCCTGGGTGTGCTGCTAACTGAAGGCATGCTTTTTCTCTCTGCTAATAACCTGTGAGCTCACAGGACAACTCCCGTCCCCAGGCTGGTACATGCCGTCATAGGTCAGGCTATTCCGAGTGAGCCACGGCTGCTCCCTCCCTTCCCCTGTGACGGTCTCTAATCCCCCAGCTTGTTGCAAAGCCAGATGAAGTTCGGATGGAAACTTCAGGCTCTTTGATAGCTATTAATGGAGCAGATTTACCAGGGTAGGAGTCAGAACCCCACTGTGGCTCCCAAATCTCGGGGCAGATCAGAGATGGTGTGATCTGACAGCTGCTGTCTGGAGGCAAACCACACTAGGCAGCAGCATAGACGTGGCATTTAAAAGATTAAGCAGCAACCATGGCTGGGCTCCTTGGTCTGCCCTTGACCTGAAAAGTCCAATCCTGCATAAGGAAAGTAGCCATTTCAGGAAGGTGCAAAGTTGGGTGAAAGAGGGAATACTTTCTACAAATGAGGTGGTTTAAAAAAGTACATTGTGGGATGAGTTTGAGAGGAGGTCAGCAGCCTCACTGCGGGCTCTAACCTTGGCTGTCCTAAAAATTCACAGTGACAAGATGAGGACATCATCCCAGCCAACGCCTTTGGCCTCAGGCACCCAGTATATATTTGAACACAATTTCCTGTGTTACTCAGAAAACATGCCCCTTCTGACCATTCACTCGATCTGCAAGTGCCTGGCATTTCTCATAAGCTAGGACTACAGGTGCCTGATCAACTACCATAACCTCTTCAAACAGAGCCAAAATTCCATTCCGTCTCCATTTTCTCTGCACTTCAATAAAAGCAACAAGGACCATGGGATTCAGACTGCAACTGAAGCTTTAAATTAAAAGCACCCAAGGATCCAGGGAGGTGAGATTAAGAGATAATAACACAACACATTCCTTTCCTATCGGGAATATATCTGTAATCCTGCTGTTGTGGCAAAGCTAACTGCAGTCAGTTTTGAATTGATACGGTCCAGGAAGAGAGATATGACAGAACTGACAAAGAAGCCTGAATTCTTCTATATAAAAGATCTGACATTCTGCGAAGAAAAGGTATGGAATAGCCTTGAAAAACAGCACGTTTTATAGCAAGATGTACAGTTTGCTTAAGGAAATCTGAGCTGCAGGTTATTCTCAGCAGGAAGAATGTAAGATTCATGACTTGACTGAGCTTTACTTAAGCAACCCAGTTTTGACAGATTTGAAAGGTAGCATCTCATCGGCTGCAATTCAACCACTTTTTCCAGGAGCACAGAAACAAGCACTCCCAAGAAGCAAATGGCCACACTCCATACATTGGTTCCCAGGCTCCTTTTTGAGCATAGGGCACACGGAATAGAGATCAGTTCCATGAATCAACTTTTCAATGCAGATCAGCAATCACCAATAAATCCAATCTGTGAATCCTTAATCGAGCTAAGTTTCCCCCTGAAACACCAGAATTTAGGGTAGTCCAGCCCTGACAAAGAACCATGTTGCTAAGCCCACAGCCAGGGGAGCTGAACCCTGCCAGACAACACCTAACTCCATGCTGCATCAAAGAAGCTGCCATCACATCTTACACATACAGGCCCTCTGCTCCTAACTTCTTTCATCTCCTGACCTCTTCTCCCTCACAAATGCCTCTGACTTCTGCTGCATCTATCAACCCCAGTGCAATACCTTCAATTATGAATAGGGTAAAGATCCAGAAAACAGTAACTAATTCTGAGTTGCAACAAATTGCACCAGTGGGAGTGGGTTAACTAACAACAGAACAAATCTTTCATCTCCATTCTCAGCCCTTTCTTCCGTGGAGGATACTAAAACGGGTTTGGAAGAAAGCAGTCAAAAAGGAAAGTACAAAGCCACATAACATAAGGTACAAAGGAAATTTCAGGTGCTGTTGAAGCCTCATTTCTCCTCTGCCCCAGTGAGTGCCACTGAGCGACTTGCTCAGCCAAGCAGGTTAGCACACAGAAAAGCACTTGGGTTTTGTGCTCAGGGAGAGAACCAGCAGGTAGGCCCAGCAGGGCAAGACCTCCTCTCCCAGTCCAGTACAATCAAGTCTCTCTGGAACAAATGGACAAAGGAGGCCAGCATGGACAGGAAGACACTCCCAGTGCCTTA